ATCCTGTTACAAGGAGAACAGATTTTTATTGAACTTACACAAATAACCAAGTATATTACCATGAAAAGAATACCGTAGAGTTTACAAATTCTGGAGGGATCAGTAGGGAGAAAAAGTAAATGTTTCATCTTTGTTTACAAAAGTATGCCCTACCAAATTGCTGTAGGTCATAGATCACTTAAGTGAAATGTTTCCCTAAATCAATGAAAGCAAAACACTGAGGAACTAGCAGTGTTTCACACAAAAAGGTCATGTAAAATTATAATCATCCTCAGTTCATTCAGCCCTATGTAATTAATACTAATTCTGCTTGAATCCGGTGTTTCCATTAGTTCTAGAAATTCTTCCTCAATTCAGTTTTAGGGCCTTGAAGTTATGAGAAATCTTTACCTGTTGGTGTACCTACCTGGGGGTCTCAGCCGGTTAAGCGGCTGATTCCTGATTACAGTTCAGCTAATGATCCTACCCAAGAGTCTCTCTCCCTCTGCCCCTCCCCCATTCTCTTAAAAAAAAGGAAAGGAAGAAATCTTTACTTGTCATAGTCCTTTCCACGAACACTTCTGTGAAAGCATCAGAATAAAACGATAACTCTTTGTAAGTGACAGAAGACTTAAAATTGCCCAGAGTTAAAGATTAGATGAGAGTTCATTGTAATGAAAATAACAGGAGACTTGGTTATTTTGTGATATTCACCATTTAAGATAACAGCTGGAATTATGACTGACAATATTGCATTAGGACATATCAGAACCTAAGAAGGTTTAGTATCACTGAATTGATAATGCTGCCCATGATGATGTAACATAACAAATAAGCCTAATTTGGGAACATCTCTCTTATTTTTAGGATTTTCAGGGATCCTCTGAAAAATCCCAAAGTTACTTCTAGGTCAAGAAGACATCATTTGGGGGGCACCTGGGTGGCTCAGTGGGTTAAGCCTCTGCCTTTGGCTTAGGTCAGAGAAGGCCTAGATAAGAGGTACAGAGAAGACCAGGTAGACCGTTTACATCACAGAGGCACAGGGCAAAGAAAGGAAAGGCCTCCAAGAAAGACTGGTTTCCCGAGGCCAAAATTTTCGCAATACTTAGAAGGCTTTAAAGAGATATGGGGGTGGGTTTGATGTTGGTTAAAAAAAAAAGAAAGAAAGAAAGAAAGAAAGAAAGAAAGAAAGAAATGGACTTCAGATTGCTTCTGGAGCCGAATCTCTTGTTTTGTGAAGATTTATAAGATGTGGACAGTTGCTTTGTGGACAGTTGCTTTAATTCCTCAAAGAATTGGGTTGCAACTTAAATGATATCTAATAAGTTGGTTCACCTATCCAACTGCATTATCCTCAGTTTGCTTCTTTATATCAGGGAGGAGCTTTCCAACTGAGATGGAAATCAAAATATTCCTGTTTTCTGGATTTGGAACTGTTCATCTGTGGAATGTTTAAGAAATCCTTTCACAGAGGCTTTAGATGCTGTTTTGTCCGGGTACATGGTTTCGTTTAGCTTAGGGAAGAAGGTCTAAGAAAAAACTTCCTATCAGGCTCTGATTATCAGCTTCTAGTTTGGCCAACTTCAGACCACAGAGCTATTTAAAAACTCCTTCTAAATATCTTGTCACTTTTCAACCAGGACATACAGTAGATGTTTCTGGTAGTAGTGAATAGCCCCCCTTCAATGTAAGAGGGGACCCCACGGGGGTATAAAAGGATACTTACTATCTTCCCAAGATCCAGAGTTACTCTAAGATAGCCAAAGGAAAGAACCAGCAACCTGCATGTCCTATTCAGGCAGAAAACCAAGCCAGATTCTTAAGACACAAGACAAGCAAGAAGGCAGTAGCTGTCCCTGAGAAAGAAAGGATCAAGAACCAGTGTGTTTGGGTTTGGAAAGAAAAGGACAGTGTGACATTTTATTTTTGTCTTTGGGCTAATGGGGTATTGCAGACGGTGATTCAGGAGAGGTGACTCTGGTATGAATTCTCACTTTTCTCTGGCTTCTACTAGTTTTCCCAGGATCCCCTCTTTAGTCTCTGGTATCTACCAGAATTTGGCAAGATTTTTTATTAATTTTGATTTTAGTTTTTCTTGGCTGTTTAAGAGAATAACATAGCACTTTATCAGAAAATCCCTCAGAATCCCACCAACTCTGGGAGGTGCCCATATGGTGAGGGGGAATCTCCTTCAAAGGCAGATATGGGGGTATTCAAGTTGATATTGAAGGATTTAATCAGAACCTTTGAGGACAAAATTTTTTATAATGGCCCAGTTGCTTACAAATGATATGCTGAGGTCTGGGCAAGTGTTTTGATGTTGTACTCCTAGGAGAGTGTAAGGGGGAGGCCTACGTATTGTTTTAGGTATCTTTTGTATCTTTAATCTTTCATTAGCCTTGGCAAAAAAAAACTGCAATGAAGCTGTTTTGGAATCTTGAAGCCTTTGGAAGCTTTTGCATACCAATTAAAATAGTTACTCCATTCTGTTTGCTTGATTTAGAACCCTTGCTTTTCAGTGTGCTTCTTAAATAAATGATCTTGTCTAATTGGAATATTCCCATATTGGCCATCGTAAATCTAGGTTATCTTTAGCAAGATTTTGCATTTTTGTAGATATCTATAGCTTCTGGGACTATAGTTCTTAGCCATAAAATAAGTAGATGTGCTAAAAGTTGGTGTGCTGAACTCCGGAATTTTTTTTTTTTAAGATTTTTTTTTTTTTTTTTAAATTTGAGAGAGAGAGCATGCGCGCCAACATGAGCCAGGCGGGGAGGGGCAGAGGGAAATGCACACTCCCCACTGAGCAGGGACCCCCACATGGGGCTCAGTCCCAGAACCCTGAGATCATGAACTGACCCCAAGGCAGGCGCTTAACCAACTGAGAACCACCCAGACACCCCTCAACTCTAGAATTTGAAGATCCCATTTCTTCTAGCTAAGCCTGTGAGTCTCCCAGAGCCAAATTAATAACTAAAGGGCTATGCTGCTATGTTAGGAATTTTGTGGTGTTTTACAGCATACCTTGTTGCATGGAAATTTTTTGAGGTTGGCAGGTAACCCAGTGTCACCGTATTGTCCGTTGTATGACCAGCTTACCCTAACACAGGAGTCTTAGGGTTAGCTGGCGAACTCTCTAATAGGTTTTTAATGCTCAGCCTGTGCCCATCAGTTTTGTAGCTTTTGGCTTCAGAGAGTCTCATCCGCAATAGCCTTTACCTTGTATGCACCTTAACCCGCCAGCAGGATCTGCAGTGTGACTAACCAGCGAAAGGCTTTGCGCCACCAACAGTTCTCACTGTGGAGCTGGGCACTCAGGGAACTACTGAACCGGCAGACCCCAGAGAATGGGAGCCGTGGCCCAGGATTCCCATCAAATGGGGAACTGCGGATTGAAGTGCCTACAGTTCCCAGCATGGTCTAGTCAAGTGGGGGACCATAGAAAGCCAGTTAAATCAGGAGCTCAACGCCAAGAGAGCAGAGCTCAGAACCAGAAGGAACTTCTTGTGGCCCTCAGAAATGGTGAGAAAGACAGAGACCTCAAAGGGTGCGCGCATACCACAGCTAGCTGTTTCTCATTGTCCTCGAAGCTGTCTGAAGTTTCCTTCAGGTCCCACCACTGCCACCAACCCTGTAAAAAGAAAATTCAACTGAGGAAGTTTTAAAGATCTTATTGGCTCTATTCAGTGATTCAGCCTCCCCCCATCTAGCAGAGAGAAAGGAGCTCTGAGGAGCTGTGCAAAGTGAAAGACTTATAGGCAGATGGGGGTGGGACAAAGAAGTTCCTGGCAAAGTGCATTATTTCAGGCAAGGTCACCTTCTTTGGGGGATAGCAGGGGTCTGTCAGGCAGATTACCTCACCAGTGCTGACCAGGTGGCTTCAGATTGATGCAAGTTTAAGATTCCACTCCTGGGAGAGGTTGCAAGTGTAATTCTGTAATTTAGATGTCAAGTCTGAGTTTATTGAGTGGACTTAGCACTAGTGACTCCCATTTGCACCTTATCTCTTTTTAAAACAATGTCTAAGTCTCAACAATCCCCCCACCCTCCCACCTCGTGGGCGGTCCCAGAGGTGAGGACTCAGCCTCAGGCCACATGCCCCACCTGTCTTCCCTGCCTTCAGCCGCCATGGCCATTCCTTGTGACTCAGGGACAAGGATGGCTTCCCCCTTCTCAGCGATCACCTCGGGTTTTTGTTTCTTTGATTCTTTGGATAATTTTGATTTACCATTATTTGATTTAAAAAGCCGTCCCTTTCCGTGTATTCATTTTCCAGCCTTCTTTTCTTTCAGGTCTTGCCCCTCTCCACCTTCTCCTGCTGTGTGGCTGTGTGACGTTACTCGCCCTTCCTTCGCCTGCTTCGCTCCCATCTCCGCTCCGTCTCCAGCCGTAGATGGCCTGATGACGCGCCGGCCTTTTCACACGAAATCAACTTGCTTTGTTTTTGTTTTAATTTGGTTTTGATTCTTTTTACTGTTGGCAGAACCGATGTTAATTCATGGGCCTTTTTCTTGCTAAATTTTGGGTGCCCTGGGGTAGGGGCTGCATCATGATCTGCTGAGGAATGAATGCCAGGAGCACGGAGGCTGTCATCCTCCAAGGTGGTGGTTGCCTTCCGATCACATCTGTGGCTCAGGAGAGGGTGCCAGGCGATGAGCTGTGTGATTGCCAAGCGTGTCAACAGATCGCGCAGGGGCCTCCAGCGTGGGGGGCAGAGGTCAAGGATAGGCCTGGGGAAAGGGAAGGCCTTGGCGCCTGAGCTGCTGCCAGCCCCTGCATGGCTTCCCCCTCCATGGTGGTGGGACAGGGAGCTCAGGGAGGGGAGTCAGGTGGACTGGGCCATCGTGCTGTGCACACAGCCTACGCGCTGTGTGGGAGGGGAGGCCCAGGGGAGGCTGGGATGGGCCAGGCGTGGCAGTGTGGGCTGAAGGGGCTCCGCTGCAGCTCAACACCAAGCCCGCCTCAGGCTGGGGGGGGGGGGCCCTGTCTCCCCCTCAGCAGCCTCGTGTCCTCTCTTGCAGGAGGTCCCAGGTCATTGAGAAGTTTGAGGCCTTGGACATTGAGAAGGCAGAGCACATGGAGACGAACTCGTCATCCGGGCCCTCACCATCAAGTGACACACGCCAGGGTCGCAGTGAGAAGAGGGTGTTTCCCCGGAAACGGGTGAGCGCCTGGGGTCCGGGGCCAATGCTGAGGCCCAGGCAGTGCCGTGTGCGGCCATGGGGCATGGTCAGCACATGGCCCCACACCTTCTCACGGGCCCCCCCAAACACGCACCTAGACGCACTGCTGCTGGGCTTCCCGTTCTCGTTGCCTAGTCGTTTGCTCGTGTCTCTCCTCTCCTCCAGTGAGTGACTTTCTTGACGTCAAGGCCTATCTTCTGCATCTTCCTGTCAGAACTTCATCCATTTCTGCTCAGTGCTAGTCTGATGAGCCTTAGATCCCAGGTCTTAGCTAGAGCTGCTCTCTTCCTCTCTCAGGCAGCCCAGCCATGAGGCTGAGCACCTTCCTTCCTCTTTCTTTCGAGTGGCGGCCATAGCCCTTGCTTCTCTACTTAGTCCCCGGGCAGATCCCTCTTCTGAACCCTCCTCCTCCTCCCGGGCAGCCTACCCGCCTCTTGTGGCCCTGCTGTGTCCGGTCTTCATCTTCCTCTCCAGCTTCTCTTTGGCCTCATGAGGTGTTTTGCTGCCAGCTGCCACAGAGTCTGGGGCTCTTTGTTCTGTGACCCCAAGCAGCCAGGGAATGGAGGCGCCACCAGGAGAGCGATGGTGGCAAGTGCATCTGAAAGAAAAGGCTGCTTCAACAGCTAGCGCGTCTTTGAACCCGCCGTGCGAAGCGGGAGGCGCTGGACGAGGAGTCCCAGGACGCTGGCTACGGTCCCCATGCTGGCCCAGACTTGCCACGGGACCCCAGACACAGTGCTCTCTCGTCCTCGCCTGGGAACAGTCTTGACCCTCCCACAGCTCTGGCTGCTGGTGTCCCTGTGCCCCGCCGGAGTGTACTGGCTTGTACTGACTGGCGGCTGCTCTCTGCCACAGGACCTCCCCAGCGAAGCCCCCACAGCGCCTCTCCCGGACACCTCGGCCTCCCCCCTGTCTCCACACCGAAGAGCCAAGTCACTGGACAGGAGGTCCACGGAGTCCTCCCTGACGGTGAGCCCAGGCGCCCGCGCACCGAGGCCTGGAGATGCTGCTCCTGCTGCTTCTGTCACTTGGGGTCACTGTCTGCTTATGTCCGTGCGTCCATGCTGTCTGTCCCCTCTGCACTGGCCTTTGTGTCTGTGCATGGGAAGCAGATGCTGTGTTTCTTTCCCCTTTCTGGACTCCATGGGCATCCTGAGCTCTGAAGTCCCTGGTGGAGGAGGCCACTTGGTCAAGGCAGCAAGATCCTGACTTCGGGGAACCAGGGCCACAGCAGGGAACCTCTGTTCTTGTTTTGGGTGCTTGTTTCAGCCACATTTTGTAGGCAGGAGCCCCCTCTTGCCGGGAGCCCTTGCCTTGTTTGTGGTGTTTTCACCACAGGAGGAGAAAGGCCTTGGCCCTAGGTCCTTTGAGCTGCAGCAGTGGGGTGTGAGTGGAACGTGGTCAGATAGGAGCATCGCTCCCTCCGGGAGCTGAGAGCAGCCAGCCAGAGGCCCTGGGAGTGGAGGACAGCTGCTCACTGGGTGACCTGGGGCTCCTCAGCCTTCTGAGAAGCCCATGGTAGGTGCCACTTCTACCCCTAGGGAGTGGAACCACCACCCACACAGCGACATGAGCCTGAGTGAGGGCAGGAGGGCTTCTTACCTGGAGGAGGTTTGTTTTTTTCTTGAGTCTGGGTGTGGCTCAGAGATTTGGAACAGAGACTCCCAGAACATGGGTTGCTCGTGGTGGTCCTGCCACTGTACACCCGTTCGCCTAATAACCCCTGAGTCCTTCAAGTACAGAAAGACGTCCCAGCCTGTTTCTGTCCGAGACGGTGGTAGGGAAGCGGAGAGCAAGCACACAGGGCGAGGGGAAGGGCGCTCCACATCTCTTCAGGCACTGGCTCCTCAGGTGTCCAGGCGTGAAACACGGGCCAGGCCTTGCTGTGCTGCAGGCGTCCCCGGGCGCCTCCTCCGGCCCAGGGACATGGGTGCAGGAGACCCCAGCAGGACAGCGCCCCCTGCTTTGCTGTCTGCTGTCCGGGGCTTGCATCTTGCCAGGAAATGGAGCCTAAAGCCCATCCCGTTGGATACGCAGCCTCCAGGCCTTCGCAGGCTTGCTGCTACATCCTTGCTCAGCACTGTACGTGGGCTCTGTTCTTCAGGCTTCCTTTCTCAGTCTTTCTGTGCCTTCTGTGAGAACTTCTGATTTCTTCTTTTAGGGTTCACTGCAGATTTTCCCCTTCGTGGGAAACACTACCTGACCCTCCCTCTGGGCCATTCTGTGCTGCCAGGCAGCTGCCGCGGACGTGACCAGGGCTTCCCTCAGAGCGTCCGGGCCGCCCAGCTGCTCCCAGGGCGCTGGGGCCGTGCCCTTCCCCTTCCGTCTTCGTCAGCCCGCCAAGCCCGACATCTCGTCCTGTGATGACACACGGGTCTGCAGAGTGTTTGCGGGCAGGCGGAGAAAGCCCTCTCCCTGCTGCCCACCATCTGGACAGAAATGTCTGTGCCTCAGCCACCCTTTCCACGTGACTGGGGTATCAGTGTGCTTTCTTCTGAACTCTTCTTTTCTTCTCCCTTTCCTAGCCCGACCTGCTGAATTTCAAGAAAGGCTGGCTGACCAAGCAGTACGAGGACGGCCAGGTGAGCACGCAGGGCTGCCGGGCCCCTGAGGCTCTTCGGAGCAAGTGCGAGGGCTCCCCGGCCTTGTCCCCGCCAGGTGTGGGAACACCGGCTCCATCCACCAGGGCCAGCGTGGCCTCTTGTCTGCTGGGCCAGGACGGCGGTATGGCCGAGACCTCCTTCTCCTCAGGGAAGTGGAGGTGCACAGCCTCCCCAGCCTCAGTTCTGCATTGGGGGGCAGGGGTCTCTGGAGAAGGATGCCCTCCTGCACCCCACAAGGGCCTCAACCTCAGGCCAGGAGAGCGTCCTCCAACTCTAGCTCCCTACCTGCTACTCTTTCCTCAAAGTTCCCCGGGAGCCCAGGCTTCCCAGGAAGCCTCTGGTTGTGTGGTTGGCTTGGGGTTGATTACAAGGCAGGACGAGTGGACAGCAGCCGAGGGCTTCTAGACTCTACCAAAGCCTCCAGCTCTGCTGCAGTCCTGGGAGGAGCCGGTGCGGTACATTCTGGCCTTCAGACTCAAGCAGAAAGAGCCCTCTGCAGCCGGACCTGTCAGCCCCACCTCGACCCTGCGTGTGGCTGGAAGGCCAGGCCTCCAAGAAGGCATGAAGGGGAGCCTGCTAGCCCATACCGAGAGAGGCCCCGAAAGCCTGCCCTCCCGAGCTCCCTTCCGTGCTTCCTGAGTGACTGTGCCGAAACATCCTCTTTTTCTCTCTCCTCCATATCAATCCCCCTGGACTTGTCTGAAGACTCAAGTCTCCCTCCTTGCTACTCACAGCGAAGACTTGGGAAGCTAGCTGGCTGGTTTGCTCCTGCTGGCTGCAGGTGGGCGTGCCCCTCTGGTTAGCCACCAGTGGCTGTGGCTCACAGCCAGCCACCTGAGGATGGAGATGCTGTTTCCGCAGCCACTTTTCAGCTCTGAGGGCCCAGCCCCCTGTCTGCAGCCTCTGGAGCTGAGATTAAGGACTGCGAAGCACTTTTCACCAGCCACACTGCTGTGGGTTACAGAGAGTCGTAGCCTGCGGCCCACCCAGCTCTCCATGCTGCCTGGTCACGGGAGCCGCAGCTTAGCAAGCGCCCTGGGGTCCTGAGTGCATGGCTGCCTGTGGCCGGGGCAGAGTCCTGTGTGTGTCTGCCACTCGAGGGAGGGGCCGCCTGCCCTCTGCTTTTCCTGCGCTCTGGGAGGTTCCGCCAGGACTCTGGCTGTGGATCACCGTGGAGCAGTAAGTGTGCTGCTCTGCTCTAGTTGAGTCTGCTTTTTCCCTTCCCTTTTAGTGGAAGAAACACTGGTTTGTCCTCGCTGATCAAAGTCTGAGATACTACAGGGACTCGGCAGCTGAGGAGGTGAGTGTCTTGGTTTCCTTCCCGGTTATGGAGACAGCTAAAGCGGTCCAGGTGGCACCCGGCAGCTCTGGCTCCCGGCCACTGCTTCTCCGGGCTCCAGGCCCCTTCTGTCTGTCGACTGGTGTCTACGTTGCCATCATGGGTTTCCCGGTCTAGATTTGGGGGGAGGGCTGAGCATGGTGTGACCAGCTTTTGATGCTGTCGTGACTGATTCTTCCTGAGACATTGGCTGTGTAGAGGCCCTGCTTTCGGCACGTAGGTGGTGTGTTTCAGTGGCTTCTCTTTTTTCTGCTCTTTGAAAAACACTGGAAAATGTCTTACTTTAAAACCGAGGATGAGCAGTTTTGTTTTTTCTACAAAAGATTTCATGGAGAATGGAGTCTCTTGAAGAAACAGAACTAAATCTTGTCTCTTATCTTTTGGACAAAGATGGGATGTGACAAGTGAATTTGATTGGCCCAGTAGACTGCCTTGATTCCTTGCTTGAAGACCAACCAGAAGGGGCTCTTCTTTCTTCACCTACAAAAAAAAATCCTCTCTTTTGAGCAATTTGGCAAGTCTGTGTTCCTACCTTTCCCCTTGCATTCCACTCCAGGGATCCTTAAGATACATTTCCACGAATAGGAAAAGATCTGTGCCCAAGATTAGGCATCCCTGCACTTTTGTCAGAGTCGCAGATTGGCGAGGATCTAATTATCTGTCATTAGGGGGCTCGTTATATGTATTTATATACCGTGAACCTTAGAAAAAGAAGTTCTTTATGGACTTCAGTGGAAAGATGTTGGTGATACAGGGGAGCTGAGGGTGGTGTGAGCAACAGGCCCTTAGTGCTGCCTGACGTCAGGAAACACAGAAGCATGTGTGGTTGGTAGTGTGTGTGTAGACCAGCAGTTCTGAGTGTGGCCTGTGGACCCCTGGAGGCCCTTTTGGGGGGCTGGTCTACCCAAAACCAAATTGTTACAAAATTAAGATGCCATTTAAAGCCTCAGTTCTTGAAAACTCTTATATATCCCATGATTCAAAATCGACAGTGAGCGTAAGTCACTTTTTCTGCATACTGGAGTCCAGGGTGCCTCGTGGGAAAGCACGTGCACCCTGTCCGCGCAGCTGGCCAAGCCAGTGGCGTCTCCTCGTGCAGTACCAGCTGCACTAGAGAGAGCTGCTGAGACACACACTGCTCACTCGCTTCAGGCGTTCGGCACTTTCTTAAAAGTGAACCAAGTGAATCTATCCCTTCAAAGAAAACAGCTGACGATTTGTTGCCAGTGATACAGTTTGAGCCTCAAGTGAAATTGGAACTTTGGAAAAATGTGTTTTCCCCATCACAGACTTGACTGCTTCCCTTTCCTTACAGAGTATCCTGACCATGTGGGTGCCAGTACTAACTTGTTTTGAGCTCATGTAATGAAATGTATCCATTGTGAAAGATACCCATAACTTGATGTCTTCCAAATCACCAATATGCAAAAGTTGCAAAATCACACACGAGTAAAGGTCCATTCATAGGGCAGCAAAAAACCATGGATTTTAATACAATAGTATGGAAAGTCCCTTGATGGGATTTCAGGTTTCGTTTTGCAGTTAACCTTTAAGAGAGTACAACTTTTCACAGTGCAAGTCAATCAGACCATCGTGCCGCTCACCTCCAACAGTGATGCATGTCCATTATTCCTCAACAGAGCCAGAAAAAAAGAAAGAAATGTCTTAAAATACATCTTTCTTTTCCAGTCTGTATCTATGTAAGGTTGGACTGTCTGCATATACAGTTAACCCTTGAAGAGACACAGAGATTGGGGGTGCCGTCCCCTTCTGTAGTCAAAAACCTGCATATAACTTTTGACTCCCCCCAAAAGGAACTAAGAGCCTACTGTTGATCACAAGCCTTAACATTTGCATGTTGTGTGTATTGTGTACTGTATTCTTAGAATAAAGTAAGCTAGAGAAAAGGCCATTAAGAAAATCCTAAGGAAGAGAAAATACATTTATCGTACTGTACTACATAAAAAAAAAAATCCATGTGTAACCTGGACCCACACAATTCAAACCCATATTGTTCAAGGGTCAACCATGCTTCGTTCAAAATGGTATATTGTATAGGATGAGCATAGCCATAGACGTGAGAATCCAGCTGTCGTTGGAAGCCAAGCATTTAAAGAAAGATTTGCAAAAATCCCTTGCTGACTTTTTAGAATATTTTTTTGTGAAAAAATAAAATGGATCATTTGTGTTCTTAAGTGAGCAAATATATTTACCTTCTTCTGCCTTATTTCTAATATGCTGAATATCCTCAATAGATAAAAGCCACATAAATGAAAACTCTTTGGGGGTCCTCAATTTTTAAGAATAAAAGAGAGTCCAAGCATCAGGTTGCAGAACCACTGGCATGGGCCATGTCTGGCAGGATGGGGACGTGGCATGGATGCTTCCATGCAGCAGGGATAGGTGGAATCCTCACCCATCAGCATATACTCCCATGAGCATAAAGCTAACATGGAAATCCGCTTGTCCGGGTGTAGACTTTTCCTTTCTCTCTGTAGGCGGCTGACTTGGATGGGGAAATTGACTTGTCTACGTGTTACGACGTCACCGAGTATCCAGTCCAGAGAAACTATGGCTTCCAGATACATGTGAGCCCGGGTTGGAGTTGGGGGACCAGCTGGGCGTGGAGGTGGGGGACACGGGCTCCTGTGGGAACATTTCTCCAAGAACCTGATGTCCTGGTCCGGGGACACTTGTGCACAAGCCTGACCTCCTAACTTGTATTAACCAAACCCAGGGGAGACCAGGGTTCAGACCCAAAGGTCTATGATTTTATTACAAGGAGTAGTCCAGGCGGCAGCCCACCGGGCTACTGGTCATGGCAGTCCCTCCATGCAGGGCAAGTGTGCAGACACCAAGGCCCGGGCGGAGATGGCACTGCTGGCCCGGCACCAGGGCCAGGGCATGAGCTTGGTGGCCCATGCTGCCCAGCTATGATGCTCTTCTGCCCTTGTCCCTACAGGAGGAATACACATGCTTGATAAGCCAGCGTGTCAGACAGTGGTGGAGTCTGGCTTTCCAGGCCTGTGCAAACACCCCCTGCCTTCCCCACTACCTCTCCATTTTAAAGAGCAGGTCTCTCTGGGTAGGGCATCCCAGGGGTAAGAAGTGTTTTCTCATTAAGTCAGCACCCATCACTGGGCTTGTTACAGCTTCGTTGTTCTAGGGCTTTCTTCTGTATGATGAGTCCATGGCCCAAACCGCAAAGGTGCCAGTCTGTCTTGAGAACTCACCTGCTCTTCCCATCACAGGCTACATTTCCGAGTCACCTCTGTTCCCTAGCTGATCTCGGCTGTCATTCGGACCCCTGTTCACTTTACTCTGGGCAGGGCAGCGTGAGCTTAGCACCAGTTCTGATGCTTTTCCATGAGCCCCACGGACTCAGAGATCTAAGCCAGGAGAGATTGCTGTCAGTGCAGGAGAGTGGGTCCCAGGAGGGGCTCAGCCTGGCCCACTAAGGAGCTTTAGGGTCTTGCAAGGTAAAGCTGGAGTGCTGAATTTGCCGTGTTCTTGCCTGGCCACCAGACTTGGGGGAACCTGCAAGGCGGCCGAATGCAGAAGCCAGGTGAGGGAGGCACTGTGAGAGCCCTGCGGGCCAGGGTCACAAGTCAGTCCCATCCTGAGGTTGGGAGAAGCCCTGGAATGTGGTGGAAGACACGAAGCAGTTGTGCCTTAGTAAGACACAACCAGCAGGACATGGAGCTCACTTAAAAAGGAGGGGAAGGTACAGGCAGAAGGCCAGGTGGTGAGGGGCAGAGGCAGTGGTGAGAAGAGCCATGGCAGAAGAGCAGCTGGGCACAGCTGTGGCCTGGGGAGGAGGAGGCAGCTGTGAGGTCTGCGCCCCAGAGCATGGTGAGCCTTGTGCTGCAGTCGGGCGGCAGGGGCGGCAGAGGAGGGGAGCCTCTGGACTTCGGGCCTGTGCTGTGTTGGAGGTCTCCCTAAGAATAGCAGGCAGCCACGGGCAAGAACGTGGTCGGGAAGGAGCTCTCTGCCCGTGAGAGATGAGCTCCTGGGAGAGAATGTACAGAATGCTGAGGTCAGACTGCAGATACCCACACTGGAGTGCGAGGAAGCAGAGGATGCAGGGATGCGGCGGGGGCTGGTTCCAGGGGCATGGGGAGGGCCGGTGCTTCAGAGAGCCCTGAGGCGGCAGCCCTGCCCTTGGCTTGCACAGAGAGGAAAATGGTGAGGGAGAGATGGGGAGGGACTTGGGCTGTGGGACTTCTCGACTTGGGGTGCCAGTGGGGGCCTGACATGGAGGATGAGGTCAGGTCCAAGCTGTGCTTTGAGCATGCTGGGCTGGCACGTGGTCTCTCGTATTTTGGCCCTTGGCTCTGCCATTGTCCATCCCAAAATCATCTTGGTGAATTTCTCTTCCCATCGGCTGACCAGCTGATGTGTCTCACAGGCCCGTTGGTCAGTAGCCTGAGAAGCCTAGAGAACAGTACTGACGCCCTCTCTTCTGTGACATGGGAGCCCGAGGTGCGGAAGCTGGGAGGTGCCTCCCAGGAGACATTTGCGTGTCATGCCCCTCCCATCTTGGGAGGTGCCTGGCAGTGTGGCTTAATGATACAAGGGTTGCAGCCCAGAGGCATCTCCCTTTGCTGGCCCTGCTACCTGGCTCCCCTGTCCTCTTGTCCGCCTTCTGTCCCACATAGTGCAACTCCTCCCCCCCAGCCACCACCAGCGTACTCCTCCGTCTTGACTCCTGTCCCACCAGGTAACCCGGGTCAGGGGCTGGCGGTCCAGGGATTGTCCTAGAAGCACCCCCTCCGCTCCCATGCCCTATCAGTGAGAGACTGTGTACCACCTCCTTTGCTGCCCCAGAACCTCCCTCTTCTGTCACTAGTACTCTGTGCTAAATCTAACTACGACTGTCCAGGCGGTAGCCCAGCAGGGCTCCCTGCCTCTTCTCAGCCTGACAGATGCGGCCCCCGTCAGGCCCAACCCACCCGCCAAGTCCCGTGCCTGCCACTCTCCAGGCCATCACCCTGTGCACCTGGTGTGCGTGGCTGTGTGGCGCTGGGCCTGGGATGGAGCTTTCCCCGGCCTGGGGGCCCCTTCCCACGGCTCCCCACACACTGGCTTCATTGTTGGGTCATGCTCCTTCCCCCAGTCTGTGAGCCCCTTCTCCCAGTCTGTGAGAGAGCAGGGCAAACCATCCCAGGGCCAGGTACATTGCAGGCACACAGGAAACCAAGGATGATGGCTGAGGCGACCACGGAAGCACATTTGCTCTTTCCTTTGCTCTCCGGCCCTTCTTCGAGGGGGACACACACAGTACTCCTACCACAGCCCCCTCCCTGGCTGCAGTTCTCCCTGCAGGATGTCCTTTGGGGTCAGGGAGGGGACAGTCCCTGATGACATATTGTCTTTTGTGTAGACAAAGGAGGGCGAATTCACTCTCTCTGCCATGACATCTGGAATTCGGCGGAATTGGATCCAGACCATCATGAAGCATGTCCATCCGACCTCTGCCCCAGACGTGACGAGGTAAGACAGCCGGGTGCCTAAGGGAGCCCCCTTCCCTTCCAGCCACCGGCTCTCTCCTTCGTGGGTCTGTGGTTCTTCTGACCCAGCACAGCCTTCTTCCTTCCTCCTTCGTCCCACTGCTGACTGACCCCACTCAGTCTCCCTCTGACTTCCTGGTTTTTCTGCCTCCGGTGACCTTTTCCTCCTTTAAGCCTGGCCAGTGGAGCTGTCTGTGCAAGGGACGTGTGTGCCCCTGTCGGGACTGAACTTAGTGGGAGAAGCCCCTCCAGCTCAGGCACTGGGCCTCTCTGATGGTAGGGCAAGGGCAGCCCTGGAGGCCGCCTTCACAGGCCACCAGAATGTTCCTTTTTATTGGTCTTTTTGCTCCACGCCTCCATCTGTTGGATTTCTGTACAACCAGGAAAAACTTCTTTGAGACTCAGTGCTAGAACCGGGTTGGACCTCTTGTTCTTCCCTCCTGCTGAGTCTCTGTGGCTCGCACACCTCATGACGTGCCCCGTGCCTTCCTCCTCCTGCCCTGAAGTTAGAAACCTGCGTTTCTAGTTTAAGAAAAAGAGAAGATTCTGGTGGGTGGGGCTGGTTCCACGATGCCCAGAACTCTGTCATTCTCAGCTGAAGGCTTCGGAGCCTTTGCCTCTTCTGAGAACGTCCCATTTATGCTTTTCAGGTCATGTACTTTGCATGACTCTTCAAGTGTCTTTCTTGTGTTGTTGGTCACACGTGGAGTGGCGTCCCAGGGCCCACTGTGTGGCCCCCAGTGGCCTGGGGCAGCCATGGCCCTGCCAAATCTTTGTCAAGGACTTGCCTACTTCCTAGTGACGCTGCAGCTCTTTGAGCAAGAAAGCGGGAACAGAATCTCCTCTCCCTATTGGCATTGTTTGTTCATTCCCTCATTTATTAAGTGAACAGAATATATGGTTGATTGTTCCTGTCAGTAAGTCATGGTGTTGGTGGCCGGGACAAGTTCTCAAGTGTCCTGTTATGAGAGCTTACCTGTGAGTGGAGTGCGTCCTGCCTGCAGAGATGAGCGGGGCATCCTCGTCCTCATGGGGCAGCTTCGCTGGCTATCCTGGGGCTCTCTCCTAGCCAGGAGCCCAGGCCAAAGCTTTGTGAGGCTAGCAAAGCAAGAAAGGCAGCTCAGGGTTCTCGGGCAAGGCTGCTGCAACAGTGACACAGGTGGTGGACATGAGAGGGCCCGAGGTCCTGTCCTGGCTGCCAGCCTTCCCCTGCCTGCCATGTCCCAGTCAGCCCCGGCTGCCTCCACAAGGGCCTGGCCCTGTGCAGATTGAGGGGCCCAGCTGAGGAAGTCAGCTTGGGACGTCGCCGGGCCGGCACATGGCACTGGCCTCAGAACAGGTGAGGAGGACACACTGGTGCATGTGCACGTGCACATACGTCCCAGGCTGGCATTCACGGTTCCCTGCCACACTCAGACGCTGGGTCCATGCAGGGACCACAGGCCCATGGGGACCAGGTCTTTCCTTTGTGTAGGAAGGTGGACTTAGTGATTGCCTTCCTGGAATTTACTTCAGAATTGGTATATCTCAAACTTAGGGGGTCCTCACCCTCCCCTAGTTTGTCTTTAGCTTCTCTGCTGGTTTTCTGTGGGCTTTCGTAGTTTGAGGAAAATTTGGACTTTTTTTAGTGCTTACGGGGCCAAGTCCCAAGGAGGTATTGGAAGCAAATATAAAGGTCAGAGGTGCAGGTTTGAGCAATGCCCCGTAGTTCCCCTGCTTCGGTGGTGGGGTTGCAGGGCCTTCCTGCCTGGGGCTGGAGGGGTTTCCTCCCACAGAGCCATGGCTGCTGCTGCCAGCCATCCATGTGGCCCTAACGCCCCACACAGTTGGGAGCCTGGGTCAGCTCTCAGTGGGGTGGTGTTGGAAGAACTCTGCTGGAGAACTTTTATTCAAATGCACAGACCATTTTATTCAAATGGTCTTAAATTGGCACCTTGCAGGTCCCACCGCCCTAAAGCACTTGAGACAAATGACCCAAAGCATGATGATGACCATGTTTTCTTTCCCTTGGGTGCCTCTTCCCCAGGCTCCTTTCTCTTTGATTCCCATTTGAAGACCGGCGCTCCCTGGAGCTCCTGCGTGGTTCAGCCGTTAGGTGTCTGGCACTTGATTTCAGCTCAGGTTTTAATCTCAGGGTCGTGAGTTCAAGCCCCGTGTCGGGCTCCACGCTAGGCATAGAGCCTATTTAAAAAAAAAAAAAAAAATTAGTGACAGGTGCCCCTGGCACTGCCCTCACTGGCCCTCAAGACCCTGGGTGGCTTCCAACTCTGTTCTTCCGCCTTGGCCAGGGCCAGAGGCCACTCTGCTCCTGGGGCCTCAAACCACAACTGATGTTCCCGCCTCACCCCTGCTCAGGGACATCCTCTGTAGGAATCTTTGCTTTGGGGCAAATTGAACAAAGGCATGGACTCCTTACTGGCAAGGAGGGGTGCCCTTGAATCCGCTCCCTACTCACCTGTGTGGTGCGGGCACATAGGTGCCACCTGGGCCATCTCTCTCACCATGGCACAGTGGGCTCTGGCCTTTCATGCTGTGATCTGTCCCAACAGCCACCAGAGTGGTTTTCTTAAAATGCAGACCTGACTGGGTTATTTACCACTTGTTAAAGAACCCTTGAGCCTTTGGGGAGAAGTGGTTGGTCTCACTCATTCTGTCAGCATTGCCCGGAGCACACACGCCACAGGCTTGGCCTCCCACATGACCTCATTTAGATGGTGGCTGTGCCCGGTGCAGCCTGATGGAGCCTCCACTGTGACACTTGGCGACAGCACCTCCTCGGTCCAGGTTTCCTCTGAGGTCTGAGACTGGAAACTCTGAGCCATCTATGGCGGCTCTTCCTTTCTTGTCCCCACTCAGAACCGGTTTAGGTTCCCCCTGTAGAAGGGACACAGGTAAAGGCAAAGTGTCCTTTCCTCCCCTCTCCTGTGGGAGCCATAGCACCATAGAAGGAGGAAGTGGTGGAGCTAGGCACCCCTCCGGGGCAGGTGGCTGTCACCAGGAGCTGCACCTGACAGGCTCTCTGTCCCTCACCCCCAGCTCACTGCCAGAGGAAAAGAACCGGAGCAGCTCCTCCTTTGAGACCTGCCTGAGGCCGAATGAGAAGCCTGAGGGGGAGCGTGGAGAGCCAGACCCCGAGCAGAAGAGGAGCCGGGCTAGGGAGCGGAGGCGGGAAGGCCGCTCTAAGACCTTTGACTGGGCCGAGTTCCGCCCCATCCAGCAGGCCCTGGCTCAGGAGAGGGCCAGCGCCACCGGGGCTTCTGACGCCCACCCCGAGGCTGAGGCTGGTGAGCTGGAGCGGGAGCGAGCACGGCGGCGGGAAGAGCGCCGTAAGCGCTTCGGGATGCTTGATGCTACGGACGGGCCAGCCGCAGATGACACAGCCCTGCGGATGGAGGTTGACCGCAGCCCGGGGCTGCCTGTGACCGCTGACCTCAAGACACAGAACGTCCACGTGGAGATCGAGCAGCGGTGGCATCAGGTGGAGACCACTCCTCTCCGGGAAGAAAAGCAGGTGCCCATTGCCCCCCTGCACCTGTCCTCCTCCGAGGATGGAAGTGACCGGCTTTCCACTCATGAGCTGACCTCTCTGCTGGAGAAGGAGGTAATGGGCAGACAGGTGGTGGGGTTCTATGCAGCAGCCTTTCCCAGCACCCGCTGTACCTGGTGGTGGCCTGAGCTGTTCAGCCACATAATACTGAGGGACATGTGGTCCAGACTGCTCAGAGAGACACATGGACAGACAGGTCCTTAGAGTATACAGTGCAGGCATGAGGTACAGGAGGGTGCCATGTCATGGAGGGTGGCAGGGAGGGGGCGCCAGGCTTTTCCAGAAGGAAAAGGTGTTTGCCGTGTGGGGACACTGCCATATAGAGCCGGGAATGGCCAGAGAGTAGGCCGATGGGATGCAGGACCCAGGAGCAGACTTTGTCCTACCCTGTTACAGGCACGAACTAGAGATTTGAGGCAGGAGAGGGGCATGAGCAGAGTTAGGTTTCCATATGCAGTGGGCGGCCCTGGATCAGAGGGGCCAAAGCTTGAAGGCAGAGACCAGCCCTGAGGCTTTTGCAGCAGCCCAGTAACCATTGATGGGATCTGGGGTGGGGGGTGCAGGTCATGCGGCAGGAGGCAGAGGCTGGATTCTGGATGTTAAGGAATATTCAAAATGTGAAACAGAGGCCGTGGTGGAGAAGGGGATATGAGCCTGGCAGGCTGGGCAGACAATTGCCGTCATGCCACCAACTTGACTAGTTCATTGGGCACCAGAGCAGGCCCTCTGGGATGTAGCGTATCCAGAGATCAGATCTGGGAAACTTGGTAGTGGATTTGTTAATCTGAACAGTGAGTTTTCTGGACAAGGAGGTTCAGCATTGTACTGGCCTCTTAGGAACATTCAGGAGTATGTTTCAAATGTGTTCTTTTAAAGAAGTAGCTAATGAAAGTGAAGAGTGGCACGTGGCCCTGCCCTCGTCAAATTTATGAAGCTAACATGGATGATTAACACCAGGACTCGAATTTTTCCCCATTTCTAGACATAGTAAAGGCAAGATGCAACAGAACTTCACACTCACATTGCTCTAAACTGTCAGAGTGGGCCTGCTGGCTTGTAGGTCACACACTGGACCATGAAGCTGTCACAGACAGCAGAGTCTGGGAGCCAGGCGTCTCAGTGCCGCCCACAGCAGCGCCCGGCTGCGCTCTGCCCCTCCAGCGCCCCCCCCAACCCCTGCAAGCCAGCATCCAGTAGGCACCTGAGGGAGGGCTCAGGGAAGAGTAGATGGACGGATGACTCAATTCAAAGCCACTGGAAGCAGGAAGAGTGGGAGGGAGCTTGCTTGCTTCACACCTCATGGAACCCCTCCCGCAAACAGCTGGCATGGAATCCATCATGTTAAGCGGGGTCAACAGCAGCCATTTGAGCGGAAGCCCTGGAGCCTGGAGTGAGGGCTTCCAGGGGCAGCTCCGGCCTGTTTGACCACACTAAGGAAACCACAGGACCCAGCGAGGTGGTCTTCTTCTGACACAGGCACAAAGCCCCCATCTCCTGGTGGGGTCTGCTCCCCACATCCTTACGGGCCCGTGGGAATTCCGTGGGTGCCCCGGGTAACAGGTGTGGTGCTGTCATATACGGCTTGAGCTGGAACCCTCAGTTCCAGATGCCGCAGATAAAGACCAGATCAGCACGTGCCCTGAAACGTGGCCACAGGGAAGGCCAGCCCAGGTGTCCTGTGTGCTCCAGCCTCACGAGAGCCAGAAATGCCACTGCCAGCCCATGCTGGCTGCTGCCTCTGGTCCTTGCTGTCACTGTGCTCAAAACTGCGTATCTCTTTCCCAACAGTTGGAGCAGAGCCAGAAGGAGGCCTCGGACCTTCTGGAGCAGAACCGGCTCCTGCAGGACCAGCTGAGGGTGGCTCTGGGCCGGGAGCAGAGCGCCCGGGAGGGCTACGTGCTGCAGGTAGGGCTGAGGGTCTGCTGCGGCCCTTGTTCATTTGGGCTTCAGCGTGAGGACCCAGGCAGGCTAGGAATGTGCAAAACCTGGCTGAGCAGGGGCAGCCTGTCCCTAGGGCCGCCCCCACCGGGCTTTGCCACAGCGCCACGGCCCACAGGCTGGCGGGTCCTCTAGCCTCACGGTCGTAGGACGTTGTGGAGAATCTGCCTGAAACCTCTGTTTCCAAGGGTTTTTCTTTGTTTCCTAATGAAATCATCCTGATCATCTTTACTCTTGGCTCTCGGAGTACCCAGTATATACTTATTATCAGTATCACATGTCTGTGTGTCGTTTCTACGTGCTTTCACAAACGGCCGTACTAGGTCCATTGTACCCACTGAAGAACCTGAGTAGTAGCAGCCAAGTGCCTCCTTACGACCAAGGTGGCGTCAGACTTAGAACCGGTTCGCCATCCTTGACCTTGTATGTACCACACCTACAGGGCAATCTGGGGCCATTAGCACTGGCCTAGTGGCTCCCTTATTTTCTGCCTCGGCTGAGGTGCCGGGGGGGAAGTGTGGCCACCCGGCCATCGGCCAACTCTCCCAGCAGCCTAATGGAGAGTCTAATGAGAAGGGCAGCAGCCTGAATCCTGAGCTGAGACCCAAACCCATGCTCCGGCAGCGAGTTCCACGTCCACATGCCAGCCAGGAAGCAGTGGGCGCTGCCCTGGCGTCTAGCCAGTGGGAGCCTATTGTCCTGTACCATTCTGGCCCCGTCTGAGTTCTGGGGTACAAAACAACACTCTCGTGCCCCATCATGCTGATATGCTGGTGGGGAGAGGTGGCAGATGGAGCAGTGCTGCAGAAGTGCAGAGGGTTGAGGGAATAGGGAACTCCGAGCTCCCAGCCAAGGCTGAGGACATAGCACTCTAGTCAGGGTCCTGCCACTGACCAGTAGAAGCTGGTGCCATCCCCTGCAACCTCAGCCTCCTTGCCTGTGTAGACTTAGAACTTGACCCCAAGGGCCTTTGCAGCTCTCAGGGACCCTGAATCTCTCTGATAAGTGTCTGCATTGACGTTTGCAGACCACAGCACCCCGGCCGCCTTGGGCCAAGTCATCCCAGGCAGCATGTGAGCCTCTGGGCAGAGTTTACCTTCCCTCCTGTCTCCGTGCCGTCTTTTGTTGCATGTTCCCTCTGCCTCCTCTTTCTCCCCTGGCTTTGACCATGGCCCTGGGCGCCCCTTGTGCCCTGGTCCTCCCCAGCCCCTTCAGCCAAGGAATGGCCATGCCCAGGTCCTATTCTCGGGCACCATGGACTGGTGGTGGTGGGCATCCCCCTTTCCTGTGTATGTTTCCTGGGTCGTTTTGTGCAGACTTTCCAGGTTTGGGGAGCATCTTTTTAAACCTGCATGAATTCACTTCACATCTGGTGGTAAAGATACTAGCAGCAGATTTTGCACATTGCTAACCTAAGAACCTGTCTCTGTGTCTAACCTGGATGATTGCATGAGCCTGCAGCAGAGCCCCAGGCAGAGGGCCCGGGGCCATCCCCTGCAGCCTCAGCTGGGCAGGGCTGGTGTCTTCAAACCTCCCCACTAGGTCTAACAACGGGTGACTTGTAACCTCCCTTTGTGCTTTGAAAATGCTTATCCCCAAGTCATTCGGAATGAGCAAGGGGCCTTTGGGGTTCGTCAGGAGGAGAGCCATTCAGGGTGGGCACTGCACTAACGGTGCTGGGAGGAGGAGCTTGCATGGTTTGGATGTGGAGCGCGGAGTGTATGTAACTTTACTATAACTGAGTGTCACATCTGTGGCTTCCCTGCCAGCAGACCAGACCTAAAGCGAGCCACAGGCAGGCCAAATTCTTAGGCTGGGCTCTTCTCACTCTCGTTCATGTTGGTTTTGACCCGGCATTAATTAGTTCTGTCTCTTCTGCATGCCTTTCAGTTTGGGGAGTTTTGTTTCATTTGTGTTTTCTGTCTTGCATACTTCACTCTCTTTGAATTCCACGAAGGTTTGCTTGTTTTGTTGATTATCATGTTTTACTCCGTGGTTTCCGTTTTCCCCTCATTTTGTCTTCCTGCAGGTAGAGATTAGTTCTTTCTGTTACTGTAGAGGACGGGCTCCACTTCCCAAAGGAAAATGCTTCAGATGTCACCTCACTGGCATCCCGGGCGGTTGCCTCCCTTCCTTCTCTCCCCGTCCTAGAAGGAAGTGGCACCGCCACCCGCAACCCCCCACCGCGTCCCAGCTTTGTTAGGGTTTGTTGCCTAGAGTCTTCTACCTTTTGTTTTTGCAAAACGAAGATCCCGAGGCTCTGCTCCTCCCCCTGTCTTCCTTCCCAGCGTTCTCCTGTCCTTCGTCTTCCTTTGCTCATCAGTGTGCTCCATTATTCAGTTCTGTTTGATTTCGTTGTCCTAGAAGCTGCTTGGTTAGAGCTGTTCGATGTGACTGTCCATGTGTTCCGTTTACCTAAAAGCAGCTACTTGCCAAAACAAGCTAAGATGATTTGTTGGATTTGTTTTTTAATTGAGAAAAAAAAAATTATGCCAAGGATAAAAGGCAAAGCCACCAAGAAGCTTTTCTGTGGTTGACCCTGGCCAGAGGTGTGACACTCAGAACTGGGAGGCCCGAGTGGTACTAACCAGTATTTAATCGGTTTTTTTAAGACTGAAGTGGCCACCTCCCCATCCGGTGCCTGGCAGAGGCTCCATAGAGTCAACCAGGATCTGCAAAGCGAGCTGGAGGCCCAGTGCCAGCGCCAGGAGCTGGTCACGCAGCAGATCCAGTCCCTGAAGCGCAGCTACGGGGAGGCCAAGGACGCGATCCGGCACCATGAGGCCGAGATCCGTAGCCTCCAGGCGAGGCTCAGCAATGCCGCGGCCGAGCTCGCCATCAAGGAGCAGGCGCTGGCCAAGCTCAAGGGTGACCTGAAGCTGGAGAAGGACAAGGTCCGGGAGCAGCTGGAGGAATGGCAGCACAGCGAGGCCGCACTGAGCGGGCAGCTGCAGGCCAGCGAGCAGAAGCTCAAGAGCGCCGAAGCCCTGCTGCTGGAGAAGACGCAGGAGCTGCGGGACCTGGAGACGCAGCAGGCGCTACAGAGGGACCGGCAGAAGGAGGTGCAGAGACTGCAGGAGCGCATCGCCGACCTCAGCCAGCAGCTCGGCGCCAGCGAGCAGGCCCAGAGGCTGATGGAGGAGAAGCTGCAGAGGAACTACGAGCTGTTGCTGGAGAGCTGCGAGAAGGAGAAGCAGGCGCTGCTGCAGAACCTGAAGGAGGTAGAGGACAAGGCCAGCGCCTATGAGGACCAGCTGCAGGACCACGAGCAGCAGATGGAGGTCCTCCAGAAGGAGAAGCTGAGCGCCAAGTGCGAGGGCAGCGAGGTGGTCCACCAGCTGGAGGAGCAGCTGGAGATGAAGGAGGCCAGCATCCAGAAGCTGGCTGAGCACGTCCAGAGCCTCAGAGATGAGCGGGACCTGATCAGGCAGCGGTTCCAAGAGCTGATGGATCGTGTCGCCCTGTCTGACGGGGATGTGGCCAAGCTTCAGGAGAAGCTGAGGGGAAGGGAGGCCGACTACCAGAGCCTGGAGCACTCCTACAGGAGGGTGGCCGGCCAGCTCCACAGCATGCACACGCTGCTGAAGGAAAAGGAGGAAGAGCTAAAGTGCATCAAGGAGATGCACGAGAAGGTTCTGGAAAAGAAAGATCAGGACCTCAATGAGGCTTTGGTTAAAATGGTTGCCTTGGGGAGCAGCTTAGAGGAAACAGAAATGAAGCTCCAGGCAAAGGAAGAAATTTTAAGGAGATTTGTAAAGGAGTCTTCAGAGGACGTGGAGGAGCCACGGAGCGGCCCAGAAGAGGCAGAGGACAGCACCGTGCTGTCGGGCCCGCAGCTCCAAGCTGCCGGCACACCCCTGGCCTTCCCACATCCCAAGCTCGAGGATGAGGCCCCAGGGGTGGCCCTAGGGGAGGAGCGTGGCAGCGGCAGCCCCCAGAGAGAAGATAGCATGGGCTCTCTGAAGTCGGAGGTGCCGGACAGGGAGGGACACCCTCCAAGCACAGCAAAACCTGACCAGGGAGTTCTTGGTGTCAAAAGGCAAAGGATCCGGTTCTCCACGATTCAGTGCCAAAAATACACGCACCCCGATGGGTCCGAGAAGACCTGGACCAGCAGCACGTCCTCTGACACCAGCCAGGACCGCTCGCCCTCAGAGGAGAGCATGTCGTCAGAGGCCACCCCCAGCTCTCTCCCTGTGACCAGCGACTCCGACACGTATCTCTCCATAATACACTCCCTGGAGACCAAGCTCTACATCACGGAGGAGAAGCTCAAGGATGTGACGGTGAAGCTGGAGAGTCAGCAGGGCCAGAGCCAGGAGGCCCTGCTCGCGCTGCACCAGCAGTGGGCTGCCACTGAGGCACGGCTCCGCGAGCAGCTCCGCGCCAGCCTGCTGCAGGTCGGAGCGCTGGCCTCCCAGCTGGAGCAGGAGAGACAGCTGAGGGCCCAGCTCGTTGACAGTCACGTAGGGGAGCTCGGCGACTTCCAGGTGAAAAACAGCCAGGCTCTGGCTTGCTTAGAAAACTGCCGAGAACAGCTGCGATCCCTGCCAGCGGCCAGCCCAGAGGGTGCGCAGGACGCGGGTGCGGGCCCCCTGGCCAGCGTGGAGGGCTCACTCGTCAGCGCCACCCAGGCCCCGAGCCCCTGGCCAGCTCCTGTGGACAGCGCGGCCCAGGCCCAGCCAGAGGAAGCTCATTTCGTGGAGCTAGGGAAGACGATCTCGCAGCCGCTGCTCCGGCCCGAACTGACCGAGCAGGAACAGCTGAAGCTCCTTTCCCATCAGATAGCTCTGGAAGCCTCACTGATAAACCAAATAGCAGACTCCTTAAAAAACACAACATCAGATATCTCACGCGTTTTCCACGAGATTTCTCAGTCGGGAAAGTGGCCTGTGGAACCTGAAAGTTCTGCTCTCTGCCCCGGGGCCCCAGCGGACACCTGGGCTAAGAAGGTGCTTGTAGATGGCGAATTCTGGAGCCAGGTCGAGTCCCTGAGTAAGCACCTGGGAACGCTGGGCGGAGAGGCCGCTGGCGCAGCGGGAGGCGGGCAGCAGAGCGTCCCACCAGCCCTGGTCCCCGCCCTGGCCGATGCCACGTGGGTCAGGGCAGAGCTCAGCTTCGCGCTGCAGTCGGTGAGAGAGTCCTTCCACCGACGGTTACAGAGCATCCAGGAGACCCTCCAGGGCACCCAAGTGGCCCTGCAACAGCACAAGCGCGTGCTAGGGGACATCCTGGGAGCCTACCGGACCCCCGACTTTGAGAGAGTGATGCAGCAGGTCTCAGAAGCTCTCAAGCTTCCTGCAGGCGTTGAAGGAGGCATGCAGGCATCCTGGGACCCGAGCCCATTAGGAGAAGTACTGACTCCTCAGGAAGCCACCAGCTCCCAGGAGCCCTTCTACATGTCCAGCCAGAGCTCTGGAGCCCTCGTTGCTATTCAGGAAGAACTCGCCCTGCAGCTCAAAGATAAGGCCAGCCTCTTGGGGGAGATATCTGCCGCTTTAACCTCACTTCCCCCTGTGGAGTCGGTCAGAGATTGTCAGAAGCTTCTCCAGGCGTCCCAGAATCTCTCCTATAACACTTACCTGGGAGGCCTCGGTCAGTATTCTTCATTATTAGTTCAGGATGCAATTATTCAGGCACAGGTGTGTTATGCAGCCTGCAAAATCCGGCTGGAGTATGAAAAGGAGCTCCGGTGCTACAAGGAGTCCTGGCAGGGCTCGAGGGCCTCCTGTAAGGAGCACGAGCAAGCGGTCGGGGCCCTGAGGGAGGAGTACGAGGACCTTCTCCGGAAGCAGAAGAGCGAGTACCTGGAAGTGATTGCCATTGTTGAGAGGGAAAATGCCGAGCTCAAGGCTAAGGTCACCCAGCTGGGTCATCAGCAGAGGCGTCTGGAAGAAGTAGAAAGCAAGCACAGTGAGAACATGTTCGCCCTGCAGGGGAGGTACGAGGAAGAGATCAGGTGTGTGGTGGAGCAGCTGAACCGAGCAGGGGACACGCTGCAGGCCGAGCACAGCAGGGTCCTGAGCCAGCTGGATGCCTCGGTCAGAGACCGGCAGGACATGGAGCGGCACCACGTGGAGCAGATGCAGAGCCTGGAGGACAAGTTCCAGCTCAAGATCAAAGAGCTGCAGACCATCCACGAGGAGGAGCTGCGGACCTTGCAGGAGCACTACTCACAAAGCTTGCGGGGCCTGCAGGAGGCCCTGTGCCACTACCAGCGCCAGCTGCCCGAAGCCCCGCCGGCCCCCGGGCCCCCAGGCAGCCCCCACCAGTGCCCCTCCTCCAGCTGGCCTGCCAGCCAGCCCCGGGGGGCCCTGCAGGCCACCAAGGGAGAGGCCGACTCCATGACGGGGCTGAGGGAGCGCATCCAGGAGCTGGAGGCCCAGATGGACATCATGCGGGAGGAGCTGGAGCACAAGGACCTGGAGGGCGACACGGCCACGCTGCGGGAGAAGTACCAGAAGGACTTTGAGAACCTTAAGGTTCTGCAGCATCGTTTGATTTTCAAGGCAGTGGAGGGGCAGGCGTTGCTCTGCTGTGGGGGGGTGGCAGTGTCTGGCAGACAGGGCTCTCGGGTAGAGCCGAGACACGGTTCTCGGCTCTGAGTTACTGTGCAAGCAGAGTCAGGTTGATACTGTCCCTCTCCTGACTCCTCGCTGGTGTGGTGTGGTCTCAGAGCAAGGTCTGGGCAAGGGTCTAGACTCCTGTTCAACATCCGCCCCACCCCCAAGGAGGACTGCTGGAAGGCGAACAGGAGCACTATGAGAGAGGGAGCGTGGTCACCCCCCCCATCACCCTTCTGCCTGGTCCCTCCCAGTGCCTCCAGCAGAGGAAGCCTTTGCTGTTCAGTCACGGCCTCGCCCTCTCTTCTACTCCCACAGAACCCACTCCAGGCCAGTATAGATGCAGACCTGGGAAGAACTCAGGAGAGACAGGCCAGAAGCTCCCTTAGAGAGCTATCTCCTGACTGCCCTAAGAGGGCAGAGTTGGGGTTCCCAAAAGATGGGGATATTTGCAAAACAGTGTCAAGTTGGACTCTCCTGTCCAACTTCCTGTGGGGAACTGGCATTTAATGGGCACTCTGTGGAAGAAGGGCTTTCCTTCTGAGCATGCCTCTCGGCCGCTGGTACTCCTTCCCTGGGGGCTGTGAGAAATGCCGTCCCCAGTAACTATCCCCTGCTCTCCTTCCCCGTTTCGCACTCCGCCTCATTAGGCGGAATACCCAGGCCCTAGCATATAAAGGTGACCTTACCGGGCTCCTGGGGGCTGTGGGCTGTGTGGGCCGGTCCAGGTTCTCGTCAGGCCCTTCAGAGCTAGAGAGGCCTGCCTGCGTGCGTGCTGCCTGGCTGCCCAGAACTTCCCTGCAGCTTCTCGACATTAGCCTCTTGAACTCCGTACCGTCCCTTGCTGCGGCACAGTAGATGGCCGGGCTCCTCGAAAGCCCTCCATCCCCAGTCAGGCCCCTGCTCCAGTGGCGCCTCAGCCTGCCCGTGCACAGAGCTGGCCCCCAGGGTTTAGGCAGCTGCTCGGCTACTTCTGCCAGACATGGCGCTAATGCTGCTTTCTGGCAGGATGCCCGTGCTGCTGTTTTTTGTCGCTCTGAAAGTGGGGGACAGACATGCGGGGAGTCAGCAGCAGTGTCTTCTTTACCTCTGGGCGACGACGTGGCCCACTGGCCAGAGCCGAGCACGTGTGGTCATCAGCAAGCTCTCGGACGGCCAAGAGCCCATTCTCACTGTTCTTTTCCCAAGTCAGAACCTTTTGAAAATGGTTAGGAATCGTGAGACAGCTTCAAGGGCTGTTTTCCAGAAGTGCACGGATGGTGCCCCCACGGTGGCCCGTGCATGTGAGCGCAGCACTCAGATGGGTCAGGCCCACCTTTGAAAGAAACTCGCACAAACACCGGCCCCTAGCGCCCTCCCAAAAGAGCATCCCGCTGCTTCCTGTGACACCACGCGGGTGTGTGTGACCAGCACAGACACGCCTTGGGCTCCCTGGGAGCTGAGGGCTCCCTGCCCTCCAGTGAACGGCTTCATCTCTGCTCCACAGAGCCCCTGGGCGGTGAGGCAATCTCAGCCCCTGTGTCAGTCAGCGGGACAGAGATAAGGCCCACACTGGTGGCCTGGTGTGATTAGTTAGCAAGAAACGGGGTTGGGGGCTTCTGATCGCCTGTCTCTGGGGACTGCGCTGCTGCTGCGCTCTGTGCCGCCCCTGTCGTGTGCCTGTGAGCGTCCAGCCCGTCCGTGCTGTTCTCATTGCGGCCCTAGAGACCCAGCAATTATAGTTAGCGCTCTCGAGGGCCTCCAATCAGTAGCCAGGACTTGGCGCAGTTTTGCCCAGGGTTGGGGAGACCAGGGTCTTGGCTGACAGCCCCTCTCTGACCACTGCAGGCTGCCACCTTCACTGACGACTCTGCACAGTAGCCATCCAGGAACTGGGCCGGGAATACCGGCTTAAAAATCCAAATGTGTTTCTGGGTGAATGATTTTAACATGTGTGCTGTCCAAGGAAGCAGCTGGTCTTTAAAGCTTATTCAGTGTTTATGCAGGAAGAATTTTCACCCTTAGCTTTCAATATTCTAGAGCCATCCAATCCAACTAAACCCTGAAAGACCGACTAGCTGTGTGCTCATTGTGAACGAAAGCACGAAGGAGGGAAGGTGTGGGGCTCGGACGGGCCGAGGGCTGGGAGCCACAGCCCCAGGACTCCTCCAGCTGTCCTGTGCGGCAGTGAGAGGAGGCCGATGGCTTCCAGGTGGGAGCTGCCCGGGAGAAGGAACACGCAGTTAGCGGTGGATAACAGTTAAGACCATTGGCCCAGTCGCAGCCAGTCTGTTTGAGTGAAGGCCAGACTGTTCAAAAACATTGGGGTATCTCATAGGCCCATCATTTACTGTGGGGGCTCAGACCAGGACACCCAAGTGTGGTGATTTGATTTCTTACCCTTTCTTGAATCCAGGTGCAAGAAGACTGAGCAAGTAGCATAGGTCGGGAGGGAGGAGCTCCCCGCCCTGCTTTGCATTTGGAATGTAACCTGGCCGTTCTCCATACTCTTCTGGTGTTTGAAAAATCACTGAAAAGCCTGATCCCTACTTTGGAAGAGATGTGGCAAGGGGTTTATGTACAAGTGTGCCTCTGTGCACAGAACAGCTACACGTACGCCTTCACAGCTGTGACACAGTCCCCTGCCCCTTTGGTCAGAGCACTCTGCTAAGCCAGGCCTGGGTTTCTCAACCAACCTGTGGGATGGTTGGACCCATCTTAGGGTCCCATCTTAGGGGTACCTCTGTTCCTCCCCTAAACCAATGTGTAGGTAATAATCCAGCCTGCATTGTAACACGGCACGGACGAGTGTGGAGAGTGGTTCTGCTGTGTATCTCTTTTCAGTTAGTTAATTAGCGCCCTTGTCTGTACTCCTTGAAAAAGGAAGAAGGAAGGTGCAGGCTGGAAGAGAAGAGATCAGGTAGCCTAATCTGATTTCCTCAGTGGATGCCAGGCAAAGGTGGCCAGCTGGTTAGTGGCAGGGCCTTGGCCACCGGGATACCTGTCATTCACAGGATGGTGTCGGCTCCCTCCGAGAGCCAAGAAAGACACATTTATGAAATGCCCGGTTTGGTGCTGAAAGCTTCTTGCTGTGTAACTCAAAGCAGACCCAGCCAGTCTCCGTACGTTTACTCTCTCCTTGCTCCCTCTGGTCAGTCCCACCTAGCTGTGATTCTGTAAAGACCCGGGATCAGCTATTTTAAATTCCAGTGCAGCCGCTTCCCACCCACAGTATGGACTTTCCATGGATTCAGAACAATCACCCCAATAAGGTGTAAACTCTCTTTCCCAAATGCTCCGGTAGCATAAAATGCCCAGTGGCGTCCGTGAGTGTGTGCAGACAGCCATCGGATAGCCCCGCTGGCTCCGTGCTCAGTGTCAGGGAGCATGCTGTCTGACCAAGGAGCCTCAAGGGGCCGGGTTGCTGGCTTCGTGATAAACAGAACACCCATCGCAGGAGTAAAGAAAAAAATCCATGGAGTTCCTTTTGCATCTTACAGGCCACGTGCGAGCGGGGGTTTGCAGCCATGGAAGAAACGCACCAGAAAAAAATTGAGGACCTGCAGAGGCAGCACCAGCGGGAGCTGGAGAAGCTTCGAGAGGAGAAGGACCGTCTCCTAGCCGAGGAGACGGCAGCCACTATCTCAGGTGGGAGTCGGGCTGGGCGACCACTCTGCCCCAAGGGCAGGACGGCGGCAGGCTTCCCCAGCTGACCACACAGGTCGGCCGCGCCACCTTGGAGCTGCCCCCTGGCTGAGGTTGCAGCTTGTTATGCAAGGCTATAGCCCGCAACGGCTCCTTCCAAGGGGGAGGCCGCTTTCAGGAGCCCTCTGAGAGCCTGCGAGCCCGGGCCCGGCACCCCCAGCTACACCTGAAGGGCTGTCCCCAGCCGCGCTAGTCCCGTCGGTGCCATTGCCCTCAGACCACATAGGACCACCTCCGCCTGCGGAGCCGAGAACATCAGCACAGCGTTGCTGCCGCTCCTGCCCGGTGACAGGCTTGGCCGCCGAGCCGACACGCTCTGCCCCGAGCAAGCTTGGTGCCGTTGGTTGTGTGTTACCCTCCCTTTCTGTGATGGTGCTTTACGGTGCTGGCATTTCGGGGTGAAGAACAAAACCTACCAGCCTGAAAGCTTGCTTGTTTTATAAACTTGTGCATGATTTTAACATTGACATTTATTTCATCAGTTTGGTTTACTTCTAATATTTAAAAAAAAAAATGGACCTGCATCCCTTTTGTGGTGGGAGTTACCCGGGAATTAATTCCTTGGCTGGTGTCTGCTGAAATTCGGTCTGGGAGAGGCCAGCCTGACCACTCGTGGACATCGCATTAACAATGGGCAGACACGCCGTCCTGTCCATCTTGCTTACCCCCCACTCCGCCTCGAGCCTCTTGTGCTGATGGCCACATCCTTGACTACAGCCATTGAAGCCATGAAGAATGCCCACCGGGAGGAGATGGAGCGCGAGTTGGAGAAGAGCCAGAGGTCCCAGATCAGCAGCATCAACTCCGACATCGAGGCCCTACGACGACAGTACCTGTGAGTCAGCTTCCTGCCCACAGGAGGCGGCCCTTGCGGGCCAGGCTGGAGGGAAGCGGGACCTTTCCTGTGTCTTCCTAAGAGCCACAAAGACAGGGGTCTCAAGGGTGGTCAGTGGTGGAGGCCTGAGGGTTCTGAGGCAGCTCCAAGCCGCCCTTCCTGAGGGGCTGAGCAGTCTTTTCCAATGGGTCCGGGGTGACCGAGAACAACGTCACGAGGCTTTGATTTTCTGAGCATGGATAGAGCCTGGTCCTGGCTTATCAGACACGGCATCTCAGAAGTCAGTGTTGAAAACAGATCACAAGTGTGACTTCTCTCCTGGCATCATGGGTGTTCTATGTGTGGGACCGTTAAGCTCCTTGAAAGAGGTGCAGGTTGGGGCACCTGGGTGGCTCGGTGGGTTAAGCCTCTGCCTTCAGCTCAGGTCATGATCTCAGGGTCCTGGGATCGAGCCCCGCATCGGGCTCTCTGCTCAGCAGGAAGCCTGCTTCCCCCTCTGCATCTGCCTTCTGTTCTGCCTACTTGTGATCTCTCTCTCTCTGTCAAATAAATAAATAAAATCTTAAAAAAGAAAAAAAAGAGATGCAGGGAAGGATGCAAGAGAGAGTCTGTATGCCTGCAGTACTTCGAGGTTGTCCCTTTTTAGCTGGGTCCAAATTCGCTGAGACCACAGAATGCACGGGACCTGCCCTCTGCTCAGCTCTTTACGTTGTGTCTCGTCGTTCCTCAAGTTTCGTGATGGGGACTCGCAGGGCCTTTTAGAGGCCTGGCCCAGGGCTGGGGGCAGAGGCGTGAGCCGTGCCTTCTCTGCAGGGAGGAGCTGCAGTCGGTGCAGCGGGAGCTGGAGGTCCTCTCGGAGCAGTACTCCCAGAAGTGCCTGGAGAATGCCCACTTGGCCCAGGCGCTGGAGGCCGAGCGCCAAGCCCTCCGGCAGTGCCAGCGTGAGAACCAGGAGCTCAACGCCCACAATCAGGTGAGCCTGTGCCCAGGGGCGCCATGCCGGAGTGGGGGGCTGGGCCTCACCTGAGGCGGCCCTGGGTCGGAGTGGCCGCCCCATCTGCAGGCATCTCCCTGATGTCTGACATTGCCCAGAACGGTGACAGAAACTCACTGCAGATGGGGGAGCTCGTGAACGAGCTGTTTAAATTTGGACTTCTTTGGACTCTAGCCCTTCTGGGATCTCTGAGATGTCTCCTGAGCATTTCTGGATTTCTGCTTCATCACTGCAGGGCGGGGCCTCAGAGGGAGGGTCATTGCACCTGGTCCAGACCTCCTGTCCCCAAGGCTGGGACCATGTTTAAACGTCCCCCAGTCAAACCCATGCACTATTCACATTTTTTTGGGTCAGATCATTCTCTTAAAATTTGCCTGTTCTTCAGAGAATTGGGGTGCATTTAAAATCCTGGCGAGGGGAAAGACTCGAGGTAGGTTTAGTTTGATAAAAGCTTCTCTGGCTTACCACTTGGACCACTGTGTGAATGACCCACCAGCTCATCCTCCCCCGGCACTGAGTACACGGACGTGTTGGCCAGCTGCAGGTTCAAGGCCTCTGGGCCCACACTCACCCCGGATGAGGGCACTCTGGCAGGACTGGTTCCCGCTAGTCAACGCAGTGGCCTAATGACCACGTATCAATTGGAAACAAGGTACAGAAAGGGAGCAGGGAAGGTGCCAAGAGGGCCCAACCCTACAGAAACTCAAGTTGGACAAGCCGTGACACGCATGGATACTAGTTACGGTGACAAAGAGGTAGTGAGGGTTATGGAACTCCGTGTACGCTATTCCACAAACACAGAGCGCACATGAATGGCTGTCAAAGGGTCGTCCGTCACAGGCAGTGGCTGCCTTGCCTGTGATCGCAGTGTGCATCAGCCCTGCCTGTGGTTCCTCTACTCACACCCGTCCGCCTCTTCCGTGAGAAACCGGCCTCTCCTGCTTGTGTGGTGTCAGTGCTGCCCCCAGGCGGCTCTGTGAAGCCTCCGTCCTTGCTGTGTTGCTGTCCCGCAGGAGCTGAACAACCGCCTGGCTGCGGAGATCGCACGGTTACGGACGCTGCTGACCGGGGACGCGGGCGGAGAGGCCGCCGGCTCCCCGCTCACACAGGGCAAGGATGCCTATGAGTTAGAGGTACTGCTCGGAGCCCCTTCAGCCCGCTCTGAACCGCACGTGCCCCAAGCAGGGACCAAGAGGTGGCCTCAGCTTATGGGGTCATGGCAGGGATGAGCGCCGGAGACAGCAAGAAGGATGTGGAAGGATGCAAATCCCCCAGGCGGCCAAAGAGAATAGCTGCCAGGCATTGTGGGTGCACAGCAGGAGTGGGGTCCCCTCGGGAGGAGGCCACAGGGTGCTCTAACCCCATACCCACAGTTCCTGCCTCACCACAGAAGCGAAACATGTACTAGCCCTGTGAGCACCACAGCTGCTCACAGTCCCGAGCGCTGTGTTACTCAGGGCAGTGAGGTTTATTTTAAGTCAGAATGATTGATTCTTATGTCTTTCTATAAAAGCACTTGGATTTTTCCCTATTTAATTCTCATTTAATCGTGAACATCTGCTCAGTGATGTGAGAGAGGCTGAGCGAGTCCGACAGTTTGAGCAGGGTGCTTTCCTGGGCCCCAGCCCGGGCACTCACTGCGGCCCCACGGGCTGAGGAACAGGGTGCTCGGGTCCAGGAGGAATAGCAGTAGTTTCTCGCTGTTTCTGTATGTGATGGGCCACCTGTTAGCAGCGGTCAGTGTATTTGCTGGCATTTGTGGTTGCATGTCCCTGGGGAGGGGGCGGGTTCCCTGCTTGGCCCTCATGCCCTCATCTTTGCTTTCAAGACTCTGGAAGTCCCTTTGCTCCTAATGTCAGCTCCTAATTCCTGTTATTCTAGGTCTTACTGCGGGTCAAGGAGTCAGAAATACAGTACCTGAAGCAGGAGATCAGCTCTCTCAAGGATGAGCTACAGACGGCGTTGCGGGTAATGGCGCCTCCCGGTGGGAGACAGGTCTGAGGATGGGCTCGGGGCTGAGGGGGACGCCGGTCTCTGGAGCTCACAGAGGCCCTTGTGCGCTTAAATTGTAGGCTCTTCTGGAGCAGATTTCATTCTTATGGGGAATGTGATTTCAAAATTCAGCTCAAATTAAAATACTAGCCTGTCAGCAGGTGTAGTAAAACTGAGGTCTCACCATGTCCCTGTCCTCTGTGCCTCCTCTGGGCTTTGGCAGGGACCGAGAGACCAGAGACAAATGTTGTCCTGGAAGGTGAGAGCTTGGCAAAGCCCAGCTGCCTCCACCAGGGCATTCTTGGAGGAGATGATGGCGGCCCTGGTGGCCATTCAGTCACTTAGGAAGTCCAAGACAGGGGCCGTCTGGCTGGCTCCGTCAGTTAAGCATCTGCCTTCAGCTCAGGTCATGATACCAGAGTCCTGGCGTCGAGCCCCTCGTCGGGCTCCCTGCTCAGTGGGGAGTCTGCCTCTCCCTCTCTCTCTGCCTCTCCCCCCAGCTCATGCTCACACGCTCTCTCTCTCAAATAAGTAAATAAAATCTTTTTTTTAAAAAAAAAAAAAGGAAATCCAAGACAGAGGGGGTTTTCCAAGAGGTCTGCGGTGGGTCAGGGCCATTCCTGTGTTTGCCAGAGCTCCTGGGGATGCTCGCCTTGCGTCCGACAGAGACTCCGGGCTGTGCCTGTTTCACTTCATACTGAGTGTCGCCTCTGGAAGACAGGCGTCCGCCTGCATCCCCGCTGCAGATGGCAGCCCCCAGTCATTCTGCTGTGCGTTCCTGGCCCGGGGAGATGGACTGCCCAGCCTGGCCCTAACCTCCTTTTGCTTCTGCCCTTATCCCCAAGGACAAGAAGTACGCTAGTGACAAGTACAAGGACATCTACACAGAGCTCAGTATTGTGAGGGCAAAGGCCGACTGTGACATCAGCAGGTTGAAAGAGCAGCTGAAAGCAGCGACGGAAGCACTGGGTGAAAAATCCCCAGAAAACACCCCCGTGTCAGGATACGGTGAGTTCCAGACTGTTTCTGCTCAGCCAGCGAGGCGTTTGTGACCACGGTGGTGCTGGAGGGTAGGTAGGGACCAAGGTCACTTGAGTAGCCGTTGGAGGACGAGTCGGCTGTCTTTCTGGAATCAGGCGATACCCGGGCACCACTCAGAATCAAACTATAGACTAACTCTGGAAGCTAGGTCGCCAGGTGACAACAGTGGCTGCTCCTGAGGGGGACCCCAGGGTGTCCCGGGCCACGGAGAGAAAAAGGCTTAGCATTTTCGGGGGGAGCGCGGAGGTCCTGTGAGCTGCCAGTTGACCTTCTGAAGAACAAGTGCAAGGAAATGTGCGAACAAGGAAACTTGCCGCAGATGGAGGCCGGTGGCTTCACGACATAGTGAAATACCAGCCGTTCTTAAGAGAAACCAGGTAGAGGTTTCTGTTTGGATGTGGAAAGAGATCGATAGCTATACAAAGTAGAAGCCCCGCCCCAGCAGGACACATGGCATGGGGGGACCCAGTGTACATTGGGTTAGAAGCCGTTTTTAAGAAGTCCGAAGGACTTTACCCCAAACTGTGAGTGGTGGTTGTCTCAGTGGGAGTGGATTGCGACTCTCGCTCTTCTGCTTTATGACACTGCTGGGTCGCCAGGAGGGGTGGCGGGGGCAGTAAATAAGTAATGAGGCAGTGGGTCCATGCAGCAGCCCCAGACAGAAGGTCCTAACCCACGCCCGCCCGCCCCGCGCCGTGCAGACACAGGCAGCAGGAGCCTGGTGCGGGGTCACACGCGTGCCTTCTGGCCGATCTGGTGCTTTGCGTGCTCCCAGAAGGAGCTAGTGTGTTTTATGGTCATTGGCTTTGTTTTCTCTTAAAGTTGTTTAAGGAAATGCCATAGCTGTGTGGTGGTAACAGTAAGCCTGGGAGATGTTTAAACATTGTCTGGTTCCACAGGTTTTATAAAACGAAAGTAATGGATCTATTTTCCCTTCAGATATAATGAAATCTAAAAGCAACCCTGACTTCTTAAAGAAAGACAGATCCTGTGTCAGCCGGCAACTCCGAAACATCAGGTCCAAGGTGAGTCTGGGGTGCAGCCCCAGGGTGTGTGGGGCTCTCGGACGTTAGAGAGGAGCCAGAGTCAGAGCCCACCACGGGCTGCAACAGGGGGTCCCCGGTCCCAGAACTCCTCTGGCTCCACATGCCTACCTTCTGGGCGAGTTCTGGCGGGCCAGTTCTGGCGGCGGCGAGCGCTGTGTCTCCTTCATGCCAAAGTGGAACCGACGTCTGACAGTGACGGTTGAGGGGCCAGGCCTACAAGAAAGAAGCAGGGCTTGGAGCGAATTCGACTTTGGACCTCTGAGGCCAGATTTTTCCCCCAGACCCCCCTGGGCCCGTCCCACTCTGTCTGTACTTCTTCACGTGGCCCTCGTTTAATCCTGATGCCACCTACCTTCCAGAGAGGAAGCAGCCTATACCTCCTCTCCCAGCCACAGCGTAGTGTCCCCCAGCGTGTCCCCTGCCCGCTGCGCGCCTCTCTTCGGGAAGGACGGGCGGAGGGTGGGAGTGATGAGCATGTTGCATTTAGGATTTATTGTGTGTGTGTCTTATTTTTTGCTCTTTCCTCTGACAGTCCGTAATTGAGCAGGTCTCATGGGATAACTGAAACGAGCCCGCTTCCAGGTCCCCTGTCGTGTAGGTAAACCACCTCTCACCACCCACCCACCTGCCACCCTCGAGGGGGCGGCTGCCTGCATGCACGGCTCACACCTCCACAGCAAGCTCCTGTGTCATTGTTCCTTTATCTGCTCCGGCAAGCACATACACCGTCCTGGTCAGTCTCTGTAACCTGTTCTGGGGACTTCACTGGCCCTTTAACCTCTTACCAGAGTTGACCCTTTGCTGAGGGGAGCTCCCCCCAGCTTGACAGGTGGCCCATAGCAGCAGCATCTTGGGTAGGCATGGGCCTGTGAGCGGCCCCTGGCACTGGTCAGCGTGCGTGACAATTGATATGTGCATTCCACGTTCTCTGGGGAAACCCATCTTGCCCTCTGTCAGGAGCGGCGCTGACAGACCCAACAGCCGCTGACAAACAGAGTGTCCCATCGCTCAGAACCCCCACCGACTCAGTTCACAGGCCAAGGCAGGACAGAACCTGGGTTTCAGGGAGCCAGTGCCTTGTGGGCATAGCCGGGAAAGCAGCTCAGCGGAGTAAGAGGACTCGGGGGGACTGGGGCTGTAGGGTTACCGGCACTTTTTTGGTTTTTGTTGGAAAACGAAAGCTTCTCTCTGGGTGCCACGGATGGCAGAGGTATAAAGAAAAGAGGCAGGGGCACAGAGGTGCTGGCTGAGAAATGAGAAATATTTGCCTGTTGGCAAACACGCAGGAGGACGGTGGGCCCCGGCCCGGAGTGCCCCAGTCCCCACTCCAGGCTGTGCACCCAGGTGCACTGCCGCTCCCTCCAGACCGTGCTTCCGGCCGAGCTGACTTCATCTTATGCTCTGACGAGAAGGTTAAGGGCAGCAGGAAGAACCCCAGGACTGGGCCGTGCTCCTGGAACAGGGGACACTGACATGAGCTCAGGGCCACACAGCACAGCTCATCTTGTTTATGTGCCTACGGCTCACTCAGGCGGGAGCCGCAGGCCAACATCCTCAGGCTAAGGGGTGCGAGCGCAGTGGCTTGGGTGACATGGGTTTGCTTTAGGAAGATCTCTAAGAAAATCTCAAGTATCTTGAATCTAGTCGGTTTGGTTTATATTTGTTCTTCTATAGCCACAAATCATTATAACCAAATGTGGCTTAGGCTTGATTGTAAACTTGGTTTGGGCTTTTTCTGTAAACATGAAAAACATTCTAGTTAGTAAAAGTAGAACTTGTTCTTTGCTTTATGGTTTTCTTATCAAAGATTCTGTTTTCTATTTGAGATTGAACTGTAGCTATTCTAAGTTCACTGTTAGTGATTTAGGCCTCGTGCCCCTGCCTCTAAATGACAGTGAAAAACTTCTGCTCTCTCCCTTCTGGAAACCCTTGCGGCAGTGCGGCCGCCCGGGCAAGACAGATGTGTGTGTGTGTGTGTGTGTGTGTGTGTGTGTGTGTGTGTGTGTCCAACCGGGTGTGTCTGAGTCCCTGTGGGGGATTAAAAATATACAAGATTCTGGACAAAGGGGCAGAACATCAGTGAAAAGACCTTTATCAATAAGGGCCTTCTCAGGGGCTGTGCTGGGAAAACCTTTTATGCCAGCCAGGGAGGAGCTAACACCAACATAGAAAGTGGGGAAACTGTCAGGCACACCCACAGAGGTCTGACTGGGCCTCCAGGGCAGCCTCAGACTCACAGAGGTGCCAGGCCCTGACAGGAGTGGGAAGAAGCCCAGGAGTGGGGTTTTCCAGACGTCTCTGAGTGCACGTTGAGCTTGGCCGAGTTTCCAGTGTGTCGGTGGGTAGGCACAGTCCCGCTGGTGCGTGTAGAAAGACGGGACCTTGCAGAGTCCCTCGGGACTCGTGTTGTGATGCCAAGCGAGGCTGGACCTGTTCACAGTGTCAGCGGGCGCTCACACTCACACATGGCTGTCCTTTCCCTGACCGTGTTCGGAGTTCCCCACCGCCGCTGCCACAGGAAGACTGGGGAATGAAGTTGCCCAAAAACCGAACCTGTCCTTGGTGCTGTTTGATATGGGATCTTACGCATACCGTCTTCTGTCCTTTATCGACGTTCTGTTTCTATATCCTGCCTCACTCAGAAGGCTAGAAAGTCTCAGCGCCTGTTAAGGCAGGCTTTGCTTAAGAGCTTCATGGCTTTTCTGGTATTGAGACCAGAGCGAACCTTTCCCCATGGGTTCTCATGAAGGCCCCTGTCTGGTAGTGTGAGTATGGGGTCACAGAGGCGCTTGGTGGGGAGACCGGCCGTGTGGGAGGAACGAGTCCGGGGAGCCACGGTGTACCCAAGGACCCTCATCTGGATGCACAGGGCCATTGTGGGGCTCCATTCTTCCCACCCTTACAGCTCTAGTGTACATGGTATGTGGCACTGGGCGCACAGCTTGGGCTGCCCCTCATCGCCCTGCTCCCCGGCTACAGTCATGAGCACAGCAAGGACTCTGACAGGGCATGGGGGGAGCACATGCCGGGCAGGACGTTCGCCATCCTTTGAACGGGTAGAACAGAGTGGTGTGGCACCAGACCGGCCTGCCTGTGTGCCCGGCACTTAGGTGTGGGACCTCCCACATCGTGGCCATGCGTGCCCAATACATGTCTGAGACGACCTGCTGTGCACAGGGCAGCTTGGCCTGAAGCACTTGGGAGAAGACCCGAGAGCATCTGAGACAATTACGTGCATTAAGGGAATTTCAGGTTTCAGGTTCAGAATGGGACATGGATTTGCCCCCATCCACTACCTACTGAGCCCACCGAGTAGCAAGCTTCAACAGTGACCCTAACCAATTGCTTACGTAGAGGTCCATCTGGACCAGTGGTTTTCAGAAAGGTTAGCCATAGAACCCTTTATTTAAAAAAAAAAAAAAAAAAAGTTGGCTTTATTCATTTACACACATAACAGCTCCACAGTATAGAAAGCAAGCAGAGCTGTTCTCTGTGACGTGGGGGGAAGCCCCTTGCAGGCGGCCAGGTCCCACAGGCTCCACTCAGGGGCTTTGACGCATCAGGCCAAGCCACGTCGGGACCCCCCAAGGAGCGTGTTGCGGCTGGAAATGGCAGGCTGGGTGCTCCAGGCCCACGGGAGCAGCCTGGTGCTCTGATTCAGGGGTGAAGCTGGCGTGGTCATCGGGGGCCTGTACCCAGGTCAGCTCTAGCCCGTGCCAGCCCCGGGAACTGGCCGTCTGAGGCTGGAGTTGAGACTTGCCGCAGAGATCCCGTGGCCGCTAAGACACCAGCCCTATCCGAACCAGTGCCGGAGTCTCCCCAGCCATGCTTTGAGGAGATCTTCCTGCCCTCACCGAGAGAGCAGATCTTTGGCAAAGCCTCTAAGAGTAAAGCGGGACATATTTTGTCCCCCTGGTAGCAAAGTGTCACTCATCCTGGAACCCACAGATAAAAACTTTGCTGAGGTCACACATGAAGAGAGTATTGGCTTCACATGCTGAAAATTGTAGTAAATATGTTGACGTGTTCCCAGGTCCCCAGTAGCAGCCAATCCCGCCGGGCTCTTGCTCGGGGAGTGCCAGGAGCGGGCCTGAGGGGGTGGGGGCAGCCCGGGGAGGAGGGCTCCGCAGCCACACGCCGCCAGCCATGGCCTGCAAGGTCTGCAGGCCGCCTCCCGACGCTCAGCGTCACGATCACGGAGGAAGTAGAGGTGGACAGACGCGCCCCCCCCCCCACACCCCGGGAGAAGGATGTGGACGGGCGGATTTCTAGATCTTGGCACAGCTTTTGCCCCTGGCTGAACCGATCTGGTCGCTGCTTGTCTGAAGAGCCCTAAGCTCAGAACTCAGCTGCTTACACACGTGGTCTGTTTCTCTGGGTTTTTCCTTTCTCATCCGGATAACACCATCTCACAGGGGACAGCTCTCTCCTTAGCATGCCCCACTAATCTCTCGAGGAGCCCCTCCTGCCCCACCCCGCACCCCGGCACCCGCACCTCTGCCTGACTGCAGCCGCGCCCACGGCGCTGGCCGGGCGGTTAACGGTCTCTCTCCTGCTCTCATCTCCACCCAGAGTCTGAAGGAAGGCCTGACGGTGCAAGAACGCTTGAAGCTCTTTGAATCCAGGGACTTGAAGAAAGACTAGCCGCGTCCCGTTCCACTTGAACACACACCCTCCCAGCCTGCGGCAGCACTACCCAAGCGCTGCTTTTTGTCTGTACCTTTATTTTTTATTATTGTTGTTGTTGTTGCTACGTTGTCATCATTAACTGTGGGTGTGGATGCATGAGAGACTGGTCTATGGGTTGTGCACACCGTTCCCTGCTGTGTTGATTCCAGCTTCCTTCGTCTTTGTCAAAGCTTTTTTTCCATGGTATTCTCAAACTAGCCAAGCAGCGGGGGCCAGGAGGGCCGTCCGCTCCCAGCCAGGGTCTGCGCAGAGCCCCCGCCCGCCGCTGTCCACCGCACTCACTGTCAGTATTAAGGCCCAGCAGCCTGTCGATAAGCTAGCTCGTCCCGCCGGGTGCAGGGTGCGGAGTCGGCCCGGGCGGCTCCCGCTGGGCTGCGTGTGGGCCCTGCGGGGAGAGAGCAGGGCATCAGGTGGCCGCGCCGACCACTCTCGCGCCTTCGGGAGGAGCTGGAGGAGCAGGTGGGGCCGTGGTCCGGAACCTGCATTCACCGCCTCGGGCTTGGGAGGACAGTACTTTGTACTCGTCCCACTACTTCAGCTTAGAGCCACACCCCAGACCATCGTGGGGAACCTTTCACGACCTGGAAAATGTCGAAAGCAGCCATTCCTATTTTTGTTTGTTTTTTATTAAATCTTGCACAAAACCCCGGCCCCTCTCATTCCTTCCTACGCTCGTTGCTTTCTTGGTCACTGGCAGCCCTGCTCTCTCCGTAAAGACTTGCAAGTATTGCCCTGCGGCCCCAGGGTTTCAGACGGAGCTTGCGAGCCGTGATGAACTCAGTCCTTGAGGGGGAAGCCTGCTCAGGCGCTGAGCCTTTCTGAAAGAAACCTCCACGTTGCTTTTGAGAAGGTTGAGTGAAGACCCCTATGTTAAGTCAAGAAGAAAGTAGAGAGGATGTTGGAATCAGATGAAAACTGCCCTTATTACCTGTTTTTAACTCTAACCTGAGCTCTGAAAAGTTTTCTGGCAGCATCCAGAGAGCCCAAAGTAAACCTAAGCCAAGAGAGTTGCTTTTTCTACCAGTTGGAGTGAGACCTTGGAACTGTCAGGAAACGCAGTGGTTCTCAGGAGTCTCCTGCCCTGGGGTTTCCGTCGCGGCCCGGGAAGACCAGCAGTCGCGTTAAGACGAGCAGCCCAGGCGAACGGCAGCAGTGCCGAGGCCTTCAGGGCGGGCAGGAAGCGTAGGCAGAGAGTGCGCGGGGGTCCTATTCTGGTCTCGCTGTGTCAGCGCTTGTTAGGTCTGCGGGCCCTGGAAAAGGCACCATACCCTGTCTCTAGATTCAGTTAAGGCCAGGGTCACCCGGGAAAGCCCTGGCAGGGCCTGGGGCATGCCCTCTTCTCACTGGAATAATCTCTGCGCTCCCCCTGGCACCGAGCCTTTCTCTCAGCAGCTTCCAGACTCTTAACCCACACCTGTCACTCCTTGACTGCTTTTCTCCCATGTTTTCAAAAGCAAGAGAATATTAGGTCTGGTTTTTTCATCCTGCTGCTCAGACACTGCTCCCTGCACCACCCCCCTGTAGATTGGTGGTACTTTCAGAAAGGACCATGATTTTGCGCGTGTGCCTCTCAGAATGGGAGCGTAGAGAAGGGATGCTCGGCCCCCGGGGCCCATTCCCCAAAACGCTGTCTAATGTGTGTGTTCTCGCAGCAGAGACTGCTGTCCCGCAGGATCTGATGGGACAGGGGCCGTGTCGCCTGGCCTCTCTGCCGGCTCCTGCTGCCCTGGGTACTCTGGCTCTCCTCCAAGCAGCCCGCTCCCTGCCTCCGGCCCTCCCACCTTCCCGGCAGGGTCACTGTGCCGAGTCAGCCCGTGGCTGCAGCACTCTGACCAGGTCAGAGAGCGCCATATGCGCTCGTCTTCATCCCTTCCCCTCGGGGTTCACCCTCTAAATTCTGGGAACATGAGTTGAGTGCAGCATGTGGAGGTCAAAGGCAGAGACAGGGAAACCCCTCCTTTTACCGCAGCCTCTAAAGTCTCCTCCTCCTCGCCCCAGAGACAAGAAGTCATGGTCCTCGGGCTGCTACCCTCTGGAGGTTACCAGGATGCGGGCTAGAATTGGGGGAACTCTGGCTCCTCTCCAACAAGAGGCTGCTCCCGCCGCAGCCTCCAGAAGAAGCCCCGAGCCGAGCCTGGTCTTGCCGAGCGTCGCACAGTGACCATGGCTGTTGGACTGAGACCTGGGACAAGCTGCCTACTGAGGGGCCTGTCCTCTGGCTGGAGGGAGCAGGCAGAACAGAACAAAGAGGGGTTTCAGTGAGCACTTGTGTGTCCCACCCCAGTCCCCACTCGGCCCTGCAGGCCCCGAGCCCCCCAGGAAGAATTCAGCCACCAGGTTCCAGAGAAAAGAGAGTACAGTTGAGGAGCTGGAGTTGGTTTCTGTGCTGGTGGAGGAGGGTCCTTTGGGGGCTGCAGATGGGGTCATGTGGGTGATTGTCAGGGGCACTCCCACCGCCCCTGGGGTGGACTGCACAGTGGGAGTGTCCCCCCTGCCCTGGGGGCAGGGGGGTGACATGAGAACGGGGATTGAGTCTGTGCAGTCATGTTTTCTTTCCTGGCCACTGGTTCATCTGTAACCCGCCGGCCCCTGCAAGTCAGCCCTGCTAGACACATGCAGGGGCGCCGCTCCACTGGACGGCTCTCGGGAAGGCGGACAGGTGTTCCGGTGTGCACATGGCCACACTCAGGGCCCGCGCCCTGCTGCTCGGGCTCCTTCGGCGGCGCCTGTCCGGGGGTGAGAGCCAGCCTTCCGGGCCCAGCGGCTGCCTGTGGCCCCCGTCAGCACCATGGAAGTGGCTACGAGAGGTGGCAGACAGAGCACTCCGCCGTTGGAAATGGAGGCATGTGCCATTAGGCATCAAAATGGGTCTGAATTTGAGGGAGGAAGCTGGGGCCGTCCTGGGGTGACAGGTGGAGGCCATGGTGGGGATGTGTGGTTTGTCAGGAGCCCAGACCAGAGGCCTCTCCCTAGGACTCCAGCAAGTAGAGAGGCAGAGGACAAGGGAAGTGTGTCACCCGCTCACTGGCTAACAGTGAGCCAGCAGGGGTTTCACGAGGGCCGGGCTGGGAAGGGGGGAATTGCGGTGTGTAACAGAACTGTGACCTCGGAGTCTGCCTGAAGGGGAGGCTGACAGATGAGGCCGGGAGTCGAAACTGATGGCACAAAAAAAACCTCTTTAAAGATCTCGTTAATACTCTGGAACACTGACTGCTGGCCTGAGGATGGGACGTGACCCCTTTTGTCACTGCTGCCTGGTGCTCCCCTTGGCAAGTCTGTTTTTCAGCTCATCCCGGGCCTGAGGCAGCACATGAGGCCGCCCCCGCTGGGCCTGCGGCTCAGGGCCTCCCCCTGGACCCCCTTTCCGTGGCCATACAATGACAGCTGTACCAGGCCCCACGCGCTCGCTGGCTAACCCCCCGGGGCTGTTCCCCACTCCCCTGAGCCAGCCGGCAGGGAACTTCTCCAGAAGGTTCCTCCCTCCCACCGGTGCTGGTAACTTCCCCGGCTCCGGAAGGCCCCTGGCTCCTTGGGCTGCCTCGGCCTGCAGGCTCGGGCGGGGACAGCTCTCCTCTCCCCTCCTTGGTGCCCGCTGGCCAGCTTCATGGCTGACCTCATGCCTGAGTTCGGAGGCGGTTTTCCAGGGACCCAAAGCCGTTTTCAGTTAGAGTGGAAGGACTGCAACCCATCAGCCCATGCTCTTAATGTAAGAGGATTCCTGGAAGGAAGTTTCCTCCTCATTGTTCTAAAGAAGCTTGGAATTTTTAACACTTTCCATTCTAGACACAATTTTAGAAAGCCAGAAAACTAAAACCAAATTCAGTGCCCCCCCCGCCGCTTTTATCACCAGGAAAGCCTGGATTGGGGGGGGTGGTTATTTTCAGAGGTTCACAAAGGACAGGGAAGTATGTATAGTATTCCACTTAGCAGGAATTAGATACTGAAAGGGGAACAGCTTGGCATGCTCACCGGAAGCTTCAGTCATGTGGAATCCCTCCCACCCTGAACACGCCGAAACTGCGCCATGGCTGTGTTTTCTGTTAGGCGTCTGCTGGGTCATTGGGTCTGAACCTCTGTCCCGGCGCCCGGCCCCACAGCCCCGCCCTTCCCACCAGCTCGGGAACCAGCTGGTGCAAAGGCTTCTGAAAGTTCCAGTGTTGGCACACTGCTCTCTTCCTCTTCTGTCTTGGGCCCCTCTGCCTCGGGTCCCTGTTGAGAGAGGAGGCCCTAGGCACCCAGCTAGCCCACCGGCGACTGGGAAGGAGCACTAGTGGGTCTGCCACGCGCTTCCCACCTGGGACTTTCTCCGGCCTTTCCCTGCCACCAGATCCCTAAAAGGTATGTGCTTAGACGTTGCACGTCTGATCCTATAGGAAAGGTCTTTTTACCCACCTGAGATCGGGCCAAAAGCTAAAGTCCTTGACTGTTCTCAGCACCGAGTAGGACACTGTGGCCACGTCCCTTCTTCCATGGCCACATCCGCCCGGTCCTCAGAGTGCTGTTAGGACGTGGGGCCTGTCGTAGCTGGGAACGGTGCGCTCTGGTCGCACGCCCGGATGCACTCTTAGCCAGCTCATGCTTTCCTCAGTTGAAGACTGAAGTTAAGAATCCCCCTGCAGTGAGTCTGGTGAAACCACTGCTTTGGGATCCTTTGCTGGGAAGCCATGACCCACACGCAGAGTGGAAACGAACAGTATCACCGTTTCCCAAGGGCTCTGCTGGGAGAGACCCCACCTCATTCTTGTGCCCTTTGGAGAACAAGTTGCAAGTATTCTTGGTTCTTTGTAAAGGGAAGGGGGCTCCCGTCTCCGAGTGTTTCAGCAGAGTAGGAGGAATCCGTCAGCCCCCCACCCCCGGTGTAGGGAGCCAGGACGGCCGCTCAGATGCAGCCCAGGCCCTGGTCCTCTCCGCGTCTACACGGGCTTTGGGAAGAGAAGCCGCTGTGCGCACTGTGTGGACGCCAGCCTCTCTGCATTGACAAGCAGCTGTGTTTATTTTGTTTAAAATAACCTGTATATTATCTAGAGTGAGCAGTGTAAATATTACTCGGAAGTTACCGCAGGGATTTTTTGTGTGTGTGACAAAGTTTGTGTGGGTTTAAAAAAATAAAATCCTATGCAGACCTCCCTTTGTAAGCTAGGGTGGATGGCTTTGAGTACAACCTTGAACTCCACCTAACATACAAGGAAATGTTTTCATGACTGATGTATCTTTTTAAAAGCTGTGGCCACTTCACGGGGGGCTTGTAAAGAGCATGTGACCATCTCTGGGATGACAGCAGGCCTGCCTCTGTGCCCGCTGGCCGTGCAAGAACGCCGTGATGCTCGCCGCCAGAGCACTCGAGCCCTGCAGGGAGAGCAGCGTGGGGAAGAACCTGGTGGGGCCGTCTTCCCCGCCCGGGCCGGGCTCGTGGACGACCTGGAGGGAGACGTCATTTCGAACACAGTTGTGGCAGGACTGGCCTGAATGGGTGACCTGGGAGCTCTTGCCGGGCTGGGCGTCTGCATCTCCTCAGCTCCTGGGTTCTATGGTGGGACGGCATCAAGGCACCAACCTGGCCACACTGTCATTTTACTGCAGGCGTCCATGGCCATGTGCGGTCACGGCATCTCAGAACTGGATCGTCTGGTACTCGGGCTGAGCCAGGAGGGTGAGCGGGGGGAGGCACACAGTCCCTGGCGGCCGGTCGGAGGGAGACTTCCCAGGACACAGTTGGAACACTGCGAAGGAGCGGAGTTCTGGAAAGGCGGTGGTCACCAGCACGGTGCACCTGTCCCCGTCACTTGTCCCAGGCCTCTGTCTTTGCCCTTTGCACTAGTAACACACATTGCAGTTTTGTTTCATAGGAAGCTAGGAATAGGTTATATAAAGAACACTAAAGTCATTATTGTGTCACGTTTCTATCACAAAACCAATTAAAGTGGATTTTAGGATTTACCTTTAGTATTAACGACTTATCTACTGATTGATTGTTAGGACTTAAAACCAGTTAAGTGATAAGAATTCATGTGGTTTTCCTAAGTAATATTTATAAAATGTAAAGTTTCTAAGTGATTCCTCAACAACTGTAATTCTTTAACTTTTCTCACTACTAGACTCTTCTATTGGCATGAATGTCTCAGGTCAGCTGTTAGGGACACAATGCGGAGCTGTTGGGGGAGCTGACGCGGGGACAGAGTGGAGTGTGTGCACGCTGTTTTCTGCTGTGATGAGTCGGGACATAATCCACAGCGTTGGTTTCTGCCCCAGCGAATTCTTTCAGCTGTCGGGTGATATTCCAGCCACAAGCGTGTATGATTCTAACGGGTGTTTAATTTCTGTACTAACGCTAAACGATATTGTTCACCAAACCCAAAGTGCCGTGCGGAGGTGCGCAGAGGCCCGGGGAGCGCGGGCGAGCCCTGCGTGCAGGCCCGCAGGTGTGGCGGGGCCCGGGGCTGGTGGGCATCCCGTGGGCTGCGCCTTCCTCCCCAACAGACGAGCCTGGCCAGCCGAGCCACCAGACCTCTGGGACGATCCAAGACGGTGATGGTGTTGTTGCGGCTTTTTTTTTAATTAACAGAGTTTCTGAACGACTGTTCGCTACAGTTTGAAGTGTTACTTTGTCAGAATATTTATTCCTTTGTGTGACATGCTAGATTCCCACGGATGTTGCTGATCATTTCTACTTTGTAAATATTACCTAACTTTACATAAACTATATCATAATAAACTATTTTTGCATCACCCTTTGCATGCTGTGAATGAGGTTTTGTGTAGTGCAGAGACATGCAAACTATGCATTGAGGTCAACATTGTCAACATTCAGAAACTCGTCGGTAGCCTGGAGACTTCTACTGGAGTTTTGCTTTTACTTTTTATCATCTGCTTATTTTATTTTTTTAAGATTTTATTTATTTATTTGACAGAGATCACAAGTAGGCAGAGAGGTAGGCAGAGAGAGAGGAGGAAGCAGGCTCCCCACTGAGCAGAAAGCCCAACACGGGCCTCGATCCCAGGACCCCCAAGATCATGACCTGAGCTGAAGGCAGAGGCTTAACCCACTGAACCACCCAGGCGCCCTTCATCTGCTTATTTTTAAACAGTGTTTGCAGAGTTCAGGATTAGTTGTCAGCGTTTTAAAATCAGGAGACTTTACATCATGAATCTACTGAGGGGACATTGGCTCATAACAGAAACCTCCAGGGGAGGCTAGAAGCACCGTGTGAAGTCCTGAGGAGAACAAGGAGCTACATAATTAGCAACCAAGAGCTCGAATTTTCTCATCTCTGCCCCTTTGTAATTACATTCATCTACAGTAAAGTGTTACTCTTGGTTTTAAAAGAGAGAATATATATCATACCTCATGACCAAATCCACACACACACCCCCCAGGAACAACCCAGCATTTCACAAAACAACACACCCTTACTGGAATATGCTATGATGTCTACATTCTATTTAATTTTGTTAAAATTCTGGTTGTGACCTACTGAATGAATTTAAAATAAGAAACGAGTTTTCCAATATTGCCACAACATTTGGAATGAATTATGTGGAAATGTGTGGAAATCCAAAGTGTGATTCAAATACACATACACAAAAATTAAAATCAGACTCTACCTATTAGAAATCAGCTTACGGAATTCACAAAACTTAGAAGAAATAGAGTACAGACATATAAAGGATACATACTTCCAGTGTGCTATTCCAATTATTTAAGGATGTTTCAATAATTTTTATCCGTTAAATTCTAGGCACTGGTCCGATGTAATGGTATTCTAATAGATCTAATGCACTTTTGTTTTTTAAGCTCTGTAAGCGCGGTTATGAACATCAGTTGGCATTTGGAAAATCCAGCACCTTTTCATGATGAAAACACTCCGCAAACTAGGAATAGAAAGGAGCTTATTCACTATAAAGAACAGCTATTTAAAAAAAAAAAAAAAAAAAAGACAACTAACCATACTTAATTGTGGAAAACTGGGGGCGCCTGGGTGGCTCAGTGGGTTAAGCCTCTGCCTTTGGCTCAGGTCATGATCTCAGGGTCCTGGGATCGAGTCCCGCATCGGGCTCTCTGCTCAGCAGGGAGCCTGCTTCCCCCTCTCTCTCTGCCTGCTTCTCTGCCTACTGGTGATCTCTCTCTGTCAAATAAATAAATAAAATCTTTTAAAAAGGGTTGGGGGGTAGAAAACTGGAAGGTTTCTCCCTAAGGTCAGCAACAAAACAAGGATATCTGTTCTCACCATGTCTATTCTGGAGATTCTAGCCACGCAAAAGAAAAAGGAAAGACATCCATATTGGAAAGGAAGAAGTAAAACTGTATTTGTAGATGACATGATCTTGTATATGGGAAATCCTAAGGAATCCACCCCCCCAAAAACTATCGATTAAAACTGATAACGAGTTTTGCAATTTTGCAGGATACAAGATTCATATACAAAAATGAATTGTATTTACTAACAATCTGAGACACATTAAGAAAACAATTCCATTTGGAATAAAATCAAAAAGAATAAAATACTTGGGAATCAATTTTTTTAAGAAAGTGTAATACTTAGACACTGAAACTGTGAAAGACTATTTAAAGATGAATCCTATGTTCATGGATTGGAAAATGTGCTATTGTTAGAATGGTAATACTTCCCAACCTTGACCTACAGATTCAACGCTATCCCTACCATGACCCCAGCTGCTTTTGCAAGAGTCATACAGAAATGTAGCGACCCAGAACAGCCAAAACAACGTTGGAAAAAACGAAGTGAAAGGACTTGCTTACTGGATTTCAAAACTTGCCAATATTGCTAGGTAGTCAAGATAGTGTGGTACCGGCATAGGAACTGACCTGCAGGTCAATGAACCATAATTAAGAATCCAGAAGTAAGGACGCCTGGGTGGCTCAGTTGGTTAGGCCGCTGCCTTCGGCTTGGGTCATGATCCTGGGGTCCTGGGATCGAATCCTGCATCAGGCTCCTTGCTTGGCAGGGAGCCTGCTTCCTCCTCTCTCTCTGCCTGCCTCTCTGCCTGCTTGTATGTACTCTCTCTCTGACAAATAAATAAAATCTTAAAAAAAAAAAAAGAATCCAGAAGTAAGTGATTATATTTATGTAATCAATCGAATTTGACAAGGGTGCCAAAACCATTCAACGGGGAAAGAATAGTCTTTTCAACAAATGGTGCTTGGATAACTATTCACATGCGAAAGAATGCCGCCGAACCCCCTTCCTCACACCGTACACAAAAAGTAACTTGAAATGATTCACAGACCTGGCCCGGAAGTGGGCAGGCCCAGTGAGAGACAGGGATGAGAATGAGCATCAGGAGGACGTGGCACAGACAGCCATGTTGAGGCCTCACCTTTCCACTCTGCTGCCTTTCCCGCCACCACTGACCCCCAAGGATCATCTGCCCTTCGGTGCAGATAAAGAGCAAGTAGCAATTGGGCAGACAAGAATGGCATCGAAACATGTCCAGCAACAAGTCCTTTGGAGGATTTCAGAAAGTTTTTTTTAACATGACAGTGCTGAACAGAACTGCAAAATGAAATTTGCTGTCCACTTACCACCAAAGGTGTAAACTGGGAAATGCCCTAGTTCAGGTCAAACAGAACCAAATTTTATATGAAAGTCTGTTTGTCATCAAGCGGCTGCAGAATGTGGCCTTGTCGGCACTGGCCCAGATACCAGTCCTCGTGGCTGGAATGCCCGGCCTGGGGCTCTGGCACCGGAGCTGGGCTCTGTGGGGTTGCTGCTGAGGAGCCTTGGAAAACCAGGGGCAGGATGCACTCTGCTGCAACCGAGGGGCTTCCCCAGCTCATAAATGCTAATTTTCCAGCAGACCCCCGGAGGAGGTCTATTTTTGGCTACCCCGTCAGAGGCCATGGAGCTGATTTGTGCCTGGAGGAAGCCTGGAAGACATAAACCTGGTCAGCATTTGCTCCATTTTGCACCACTGTGCTCTGTCCTTGGGGGAGAAAAGAGCCTCTAGTGGATATTTGTGGACAGAGCAAAGTGAGCAGAAGGCTTGTGATGGACCCATCTTGTGAAGTCCTGACCACCTGATCAAGGAGAAGACCGGTTCCTTTCAGACGGGCAGTCACCTCCTGATAACCTCCTCACCGTCTGTTGTTTCTGGTTACGAGAGGGTTACGATCACAGGTTCTATTTCATGGCACATCACACATCCTGCACGATTACAAAAATGCATGAGAAACTCCAGGTAAGAGAATTTCTTCAGGATTGTAAAATTGTTATGAACAGAACTGCAGGGGGAAAGTATTTGAAAACACTGGGTTGCACAGTGCTAAAAGTGCATAGTTGAATCGTAATTGGGTCACTTTCTGAATCTATCAAATCGGAAAAAAAACGTTTCATAGGCTGACACATAAGAGCTAAGAGTATACGACTCAGAAAGAAACACAGAAGCCAATCTTTGTGACTTCGGGCTGTGCAAGTGTTCCTCAGATATGACATCAAAATACAAACAGCAGAAATGAAAAAAAAAAAAAAAAACCTGGCAAATTTAACTGTATCAAAATTACTAACACATAGCTACACACAATACCCAAGAAAGCGAAAAGACTACCTAAAGAATGGGAGAAAATCTTTGCAAATCACATGTCTGGGGGCGCCTGGGTGGCTCAGTTGGTTAAGCATCTGCCTTCAGCTTGGGTCATAACCCAGGGTCCTGGGATCGAGCCCCACATCAGGCTCCCTGCTCAGTGGGGAGCCTGCTTCTCCCTCTCCCTCTGCTGTTCTGCCTGCTTGTGTCTCTCACTTTGTCAAATAAATAAATAAAATCTTAAAAAAAAATCATGTCTGATAAGGGACTTGAGTCCAAAATATAAAAAGAGCTCTTATAATTCTTATAATTCATAAGTCAAAAGTTATAACTTCTAATTCAACAATTAAAAAAGCAACCCAGTTTTTTAAAAAGTGGGCAAAGGACTTGAATAGACATTTCTCCAAAGACAACATATAAATGACAAGTACATGAGGAGACACTCGACATCCTTAGTCATCAGGAAAATGCAAGTCAAAACCACAAGACACCACGTCACACTCCACAGGTTGGCTATTATTTAAAAAGTCAGTGGTAGGAGGCGCCTGAGTGGCTGGCTCAGTGGGTTAAAGCCTCTGCCTTTGGCCTGGGTCATGATTCCGGGGTCCTAGGATCGAGCCCCACAACAGGCTCTCTGCTCAGCGAGGAGCCTGCTTCCTCCTCTCTCTCTGCCTGCCTCTCTGCCTGCTTGTGATCTCTGTCAAATAAATAAAATCTTAAAATAAAAAAAAAGTCAGTGGTAGTTTTTTGTTGGCAGGGATGCAGAGAAGAAGGAACTCCCAGACTTTGCTGGTTGGAATGTAAAATGGTGCAGTCGCTTTGGAAAAGTCTGGCGGGTTCTTGGTAGAGTTTTAGGACCCAACAATTCTACTCCAAGGCATATACTCAAGAGAAATGAAAACATGCTTCCACATGAACGCTTACATGTGAATGTTTCCTTTACGTGTAACAGTGGAAACCACTGAAATGTCCGTCAGTTGATGAATGGGTTCCAAACACGTGGTCTATCCACACGACAATATTATTCAGCTACAAGAAGTGAATACTGACACGTGTCACAAGAGGGACAGCCCTCAAAAACGCTGGGGCGCCTGGCTCCTCGGTCAGTTAAGCCTCTGCCTTCGGCTCAGGTCATGATCCCAGGGTCCTGGGGTTGGCTCCCTGCTCAGCACAGAGAAGGCTGCTTCTCCCC